TGAAATTCTCTTGAAACTTTAAACATAGGGTGGTATCAAGTAGGTATACATCTGGAATCAATGCTGACTTCGTAAATGGTTCTCAGGTCTGGATTGAGGCGCCTTCTGGTAATCTAGGAAAGCTGTGTACGTTAAAATCTGTACATTTCTATGTCATCGTGAGCATGGTTTAAATATGGTCAGTTGTGCTGGAACTTTTTCAGCTCGATTGGCTGGAGAAGATGAAATTTCTGGTTCAGGCGGTTTGTGATTATTTTTGCATATACTGATGAGGCTGTAGTTTGTTTATATTTCTGGATTCTGAAATACTTTCTTTTTCGAGAAACTCATTTTCTTCATTTTTCTTGTGATTTGATCTCCTACTGGAGCTTGAGTTGCTTCAACACTGTCCAGGAGTCTAGTTTGCCCTGGGATAAAATTGTTCTATAGTATTTCTGGATCAACGTGCGGGATTAATTATCGCAATCCATGTTCTGATCCATTCTTTCGCTCAAAGTTTATCCTTTGGTTATTCTTAACTTTGTTTATGACCTCACCTCTTGATCGATTTGATTGAGGAACTCTACTATTTGAATTGTTCCTGATAACTTTTTTGATTGATTCTGTTTTCGTGCGGGATATATCATGGCCTTCTGTGTTAAGGTTATAGGCACTAATGAGTATTTTTCTGTAGATCTCTTTCTCCAATAAGTCGTTCTGTTTCACTGCTAAATTCTAGAGCTTTTCGTCTTTGGAGTGTACACATTTTGTTTTCAAGTTTTTGTATACTACTGACAACTTTTGTCGAGAGCTTGTCGGTTGGTTGTAGTTTCGTTTCTTGTATATGTTCCCGTTGAACAATTTATAATTTCCTTTTTATTTGCTTATGGTAGATTGTAGACTGCATTTAGAGCCGTTACAGATTGTTCCAGCCGCTCAAGCACTGCTACCTGTCTAGATATTTTGTGCGTGATTCTGCTTCTAGTTGGTGTCCAAGATTTGTAGGATTCTCCCAAAGGAGGCCAGCTTCCTGGGTGGTAAAGTGCCCACCTCTTGGGGTGTTAGCCGTACGCCTTCAAGGTCTTTCAGCCTTTTGCAGAAGAGAGCAAGGCATTCACAGAATAAATGTTCTGTAGTTCTGTTGCTTGTTAGCAAGATCTGCAGTGGTCGTTTGCTTGTTTGCCTATTGTTTTTAGGTGATATTTCACCAGTGAGCAGACTGACTACTGTTCTAATGTCTCTTCTGTTCATGTTAAGATGTTGTTCAGATTTCTTTGCTGAGATGGATATGAACCTTTTTGCCTGTCTCAGGCCCGGAATGGATATCCAATGAGCTAGCATTCGATCCTTCTCCCATCTGTCCATTTCTTCGGAGACGTGACTTTTCATTAGTCGACAAAAAGACTCTGGGCCTTGAAAAGGTGTTAAAGTGCCTGGCTTTGTGAGGTGGTCTGCCTCGTCGTTGCCCTCTATGACCTGGTGTTCTGGCACCAACATCAGGTTTACTTTGTTCCTCCCTGCCAGTTGCTTAATAGTCGCACCTGGAACAGGGGCGTCAGGCAATGACCCCAGTTTACTTTTTTTGGCATTACTTACTCATGTTTACTTTCTCTTCCAAAACCGTTTAGGACTTTTATTTTACGTGTTTTTTCAACCCGTAGATATAAAATTTGTTGGGATTGGTAAAATCTGTGACCTTCTCCAGACTTTTTATCACGCGTACAGTTATCGAAGAGACACATAAGAAGATGGCCGATGGCGGTTGTTTCAATTTGATTGATATAGTTGCCTATAATTCCTACATTCTTTTTATAGAAGCTAATGAGAACTGGGCAAGAGATAATCCAAAACAAAAATCTAGGAAAAAAGTTCTTCTGTAAAATGCTTAAGCAAGCTGTTGTGTCAAATTGATATGAGTAACCGCTCAAGCTATAGAGGACTTCAAAATAAATATATAGCTAGAAAATTAGTTTCGAATAAGAAATTGAATTTATACACTTTTTTTACAAATCACGTACCCGGTGAGTCGCTAACCCTCCTGTTCCGAATTCAAGAAAACCTGGGGTCAGTCGCTAACCCCCCTGTTTCATGTTCTCCGGGTACCCAGTTAGGGTCCCAGTGCGACTCTTAAGGATATTTTTACCCTTCAAAACTACCTGCGAATTGCACTCGATGGCTCCTAGAGCCTTTAGAGTCGCTTGACTGTGGGACAGTATGTGAATGTCCTTTCGTTAAAAGCCTCTTTTAAGGTACTTTAAGCAGGAGCAATTACTAAATTATTAACAGATCGAAATATCAATACTTCTCCTTCCGTTAGCTTCGAACCATCTGTGTACCACAGTGATGCGTTCTTTGATTGCGGTAATTTTGCGTTCTTCCATAATTGGACTTTCTAATCCGGATCGAAATCCTTCCTTTTTACGACAGAAACGCGATTTAAATGAAACTTTGTCAGCTGACCTGAACAATGGCAAACTCGTCTAACCTCACTTTTTTAGTGTTATTGCCTTGTTTTATTATGAAGTAAAGTTTTGAAAATATGTTCTTTTCCTTCAAATGGATCTACTTTCTTTGTAAAAATCAGAAACTGCTTTTCCCTCTCATGGGAGTATGCCACAAATTTATTAAAAAATGAGATTTTTTTGCTTTGTTCAATTCGGCCAGTCTCTTTCTATTTGAATCTGCTGAAAAAAAAAAGGATTTATCGATCGGATAATTCATTTTATGAGAGTAACGGAGATTCACTGGATGGGATCAAGTCGATCGGATCCGGATTTCACGAGATAAACGTACTCAATGATGGAAAAGTGCCGTACACTTTACCTTTGAACTATCCTGGGAAAGAACGCACTACTAGTACCTCAGGGAAATTAGACTTCCTCTGCAGAATGAGGCCGAACAAGCTGAATTTTTGCAGAGACCTTCGTTTTTATGGTCTTATGAAGCACAAAAAAATCGAATATGCCTACCCTTGTGCGTCTTGAGATATCGAAGGTCAAAGGTCACGAAAATCGGTTTTTTACGAAAATCTCGCTTCCAGACGTCGAAGAACCCAAAACAAAACTTACGTAAAATAGTATTTTCTACAAAATTATTCATTTACACTTTTTTGTACGACCAACCGTTTTCGAAATATAGCGTAATAAAGCGGGAACGCGCATTCAAAATAGGTGATACTGTATTATACAGGGTGTCTCTGTTCAACTGGTCAAAAATGCTAGGGTATATAGAGGAACCTTAGAGAATTAATTTGAGATAGGACACCGATGGTCGGAAGTGCGTCGTTTCCAAAATACAGGGTGTTGAAATTTAAACAACCCCCTTTCATAATAATATAATCTGAAGGGCTGATGCTAGACTGTTCAAATTTTCAGGGATGAGTCATGTAGGGATGATATTTAAAAACTCGTATAATTCACCCTCATTTTCTACCTGGAACTCCCAAAAAAAAAAAAAAAATTCAAATTTTATTTTTATTTTTTTTTTGGGATGGTTCCAGGTAGAAAATGGGGGTGCATCATAAGAATTTTTAAATATCATTCTTACATCAATAATCCCTGAACAGCCTAGCATCAGCCCTTTAGATGATATGAAAGGGGGTTGTTTAAATTTCAACACCCTGTGAAGAGTAAAATTACTTCTCTATGGTTCCTCTATATACCCTAACATTTGTGACCAGTTGAACAGAGACACCCTGTATAATACAGTATCACCTATTTGGAATGCGCGCTTTCGCTTTATCACGCTATATTTCGAAAACGGTTAGTCGTACAAAAAAATGTATATGAACAATTTTGTAGAAAATACTATTTTACGTGAGTTTTGTTTTGAGTTCTTTGACGTCAGATGCACTGGGAGCGAGATTTTCGCAAAAAAAACGATTTTTGTGACATTTGACCTTCGATATCTCAAGACGCACAAGGGTAGGCATATTCGATTTTTTTTGTGCTTCATTAGAACATCAAAACGAAGGTCTCCGCAAAAATTCAGCTTGTTCAGCCTCATTCCGCAGATGGCCCTTTTTTTGGTCTAATTTCCCTGGGGTATAAGAAGGTTTTCACTCTATACTCAGTATGTACTCAGAAAAAAAACACATTTGATCCATCCATGTTGTTAAAAAACCGGTGTTAGGGACCGGAGTTCACCGATGCCACTTATGTTAGGAACCCGGAGTTTTCCGCTGGCTCCAATGTATAGTAATCTCGGATTATTTTTAGGCCTTGTACCTATTATCCGGTATTTTAGTGAAGTAAACTCGAAATTATTTGAAGGTTTAGTTTATTTTAACTCTGAACGAAACTGATTTTACATAAGTGCTACTGCTACAACCCGAATGTTCGCTATCGATCTTAAAAAGCGACTGCCTACTCCAGATTCTAAAATCTAAAAGGTAACCTAAAAGACTACTAAGTTCTCAAGGTAATTCTCACCATCCGGAATAATAAATTTAAATCTGGGAAAAGTGCTCTATCTTTGGCGGCAAGAACACCCTCCATGGGTTATATTTATTTATGTGTATTTACAATAATTTAGGTTCCTGCAATAGAGGTACCGAGTACCGACAAATGGAAACATCTTGTTGGGATATTGATGTTAACAGGACATTTGTTGTAACAATAATTCTAGCCAGCACATCTTTAAAATAAGCAATAAAGTTCTAAAGTAGGTACCTAATTGATAAGGGACTAAACCAAACAGATGTGGATTTTTTTGAAGAGAGGAAATGTAGTGAACATAATGAGCATAATTGTTATTAATAAAATGATGAATTTACTGGTTCACAACACCGGCTTCCTTTTCTAAACGATTGAGGCAAATAATTTGAATAATTTAGCATAATTTCTGGTCAACTACTATTCCCAATAGGAACATTTAAGCTATCTATTATAGTAGGTTTAAGAAAAAATACACTGGATAGAGTAGTTTATTCTTTAAAATGTCAAATTTGTTTTAGTAGTTTAAACAAAACTTTCTCACGCTTACCTACCTAATGAGCAACTTATAAATGTTAAATTTTTAAGGTCCCAATACACATACCACCTCAAGAGTGATGTCACATGGCGGTATTCAGTTTTTCAATTTGATCGACCAAAATGCTTTGGGATGCTGGAACACTATCGTATTTTCACTGTTTTGTTTTCTACTTTTACTTAATAAAGATATTTGACTTCAATTTTATTTCTTAAAATTATCGATGTGAGGGAGCGAAAATAAAAACATGTTGCTCGGTGCAAGCCAGACCAGAAAGAGATTTATTAGATGAAGTATCTTTTGACAATGGTCATGCGCGATCTCGTGCGCAATATGTATTTAATAATGTTCATTTGATTTCAAGTTCAAATTCAAATATCACATCCTCCCTTTTTTGAAAATAGAATAATAGCACTACACAAAATATCAGTCTTTTCAAAATATCAGTCTTTTCACAATATCATTTAAAGTTGCTATCACAGATGTGTTCAATTACATAAAAGATGTTACAATTTCTGACTGGCACTCAGTTCTTTCTATATATACAAACTTAAGACCTAGCAGTCTCTAGATAAATACTTTAATTTTTTTTTATTTTTTATAAATATACTAACACTTAACACTAAAGACACTAAGATTAAATTTATACACTAACAATTGAAACTTAACTTAAAAAAAAAATACAAACTAATATCACAAGCTTAACCTAACTGGTGGTTTAACCAATCTCCCTGATCTTGTATTTCTCACTGGAGAATGTCTCGGCATCTCTCTTACAGGTGATTCCGGAGATGACAAGGAATTACTTGAAAGTGATTCACTCGAATTGCTGAATGAATGAAACCCATGAAAAGAAGAGGACATTGAGACACTCTCAGGAGTAGTATGTTGACTAGTACCTGGCATACTTAGATTCAACGTATCGTTCAAATTATCACTAGAAATACCATCATATTTAAATCTATCATAGCTTTCTGAATTATAGCTATTTTTATTAGACAAGTCTAAATTATTTTTTGGTAAATTATCTAAGTTTTCTCCTAATATTTCCCCTTTTTTTTTTTCAAATTGAAATTGAGATTTAATTATTTTTAAATGCTTTCTGTTTCTAGATACAATATTCCCTGTTTTTTCTAGTTTCACATTATATGATCTAGGACAATTATTTTTCCCTATTACTGTACCATTGAGCCATTTTTCTTTAGCTTTTAATTTAAAGTTTTGTACTTTAACCAATGTACCCGGCTTAATCTCATTTAATTCTTTACTGTGCTTATCATAATAATTTTTTTGTTTATTTTGCCTTTCAATTAATTTGTTTCGAACTGTGGGAATAGGCTGTATTTTGGGTTTTAGCAAATTATCCATGACAGGAATCGTGGTTTTTAGCCTTCTACCGAAAATTAATTGAGCAGGACTCGGTAAATTTGGTCCTATTGGAGTATTTCTCAAATCCAAAAGTGCTAAATGAAAATCAGAACGTGATTCAGCACATTTTTTCATGGTGTTTTTGACAGTTTGCACAAATCTTTCAATTTGACCATTGCTTTGTGGATTATGTGCGCTAGTTGTAATATGTTTAAATTGCCAAGTTTTAACGAAATTCTGAAATTCTGATGATCTAAAACATGTACCATTATCTGAAATTAAAGACTCTGGAATTCCATGAACTGAAAATAGTTTTTTGAGTGATTTTATGACACTCACACTTTTGTCATTTGGGAGTTTTTGTACATCCACAAATTTCGAAAAATAATCCACCGTAATCAAGAAACTTTCATTATTAAAATAAAAAATATCGGTAGCAACCTCTTTCCACGGTCCAGATGGTACTTTGTGAGGTAACATTGGTTCTTTTTGGTTAAACTTGCTATTAGACAGACAAATATCACAGGATTCGACTAGATTTTCAATATCTGAGTTAATTGTAGGCCAAAATATCAACTGTTTTGCATTTAATTTGGTTTTCGTAATACCTAAATGTCCCACATGCAACCTAGACAACATTTCTCTTCTAAGTGATTTTGGAATGAAAATTCTATTATTTTTAAAAATCAAGTTTTTTGAATAAGTAAGCTCGTCTTTGTGAGGCCAATAAATTTTATATTCTTCACCTAACTTTTTTTTATTACTAGGAAAACCTTCTGTAATTAATTTAATTAGCCCTTGAAGATGACTATCTTTTAAGGTTTCCCTTCTCAAGTTTTCAAATTTTTCTTGACTGATCGGCAAGTTTTCAGTGACAAATAATAAATGATTATCAAATTCTAAGCATTTCCTTTCAAAAATTTCATCCACATCATTTTGAAATGCCCTACTCAGCGCGTCAGCTAAAAATAGCTGTTTTCCTGGTTTATATATTAATTTAAAAGAGTAAGGTTGTAACATCAATAACATACGTTGCAAACGTGCTGGTGCACTTATAATTGGTTTCTTTATAATGTTTACTAACGGTTTATGATCTGTTTCGATGGTTACATCGGAACGACCAAAAATATAATTGTGAAACTTTGTGCACGCATGGCAAATTGACAGCAACTCTTTTTCTATTTGAGCATATCGCTGCTGAGTGGGAGTGAATGCTTTTGATGCATAAGAAACCGGTGCATCATTTTGTAACAGTACCGAACCACAACCATTTTGAGAGGAATCGCAAGACATTACTATAGGCAGTTTCCTAGAATAAAATTGTAAAATAGGAGCATTCATGAGTAGATTTTTTATTTTTTCAAAGGATTCTTCTTGACTCTCACCCCATTCAAATTTGACATTCTTTCTGATTAACATTCTGAGTGGTTCTGTTAATTCGGAAAAGTTTGGCACAAATCTATTTAAATAATTTAAAATTCCAAGTAAACGCTCTATATCTTTTGGACATTTAGGTTTTGACAGATTTTTGACAGCTTCAACTTTATTTTGATCGATTTCTAGACCTTTTTCTGATAAATTGAATCCCATGTATTTAACACTACTAACACAAAATTTACATTTATTTACATTAAAACGTACATTGAACTTTCTGGCTGTTTTAAAAACTTTCTCTAAAATGCTAAGATGTTCCTCCAAGGACTCGGAAAAATTTAATAAATCATCTATATATAATTCTAACCCCTCTATTCTTTCAAAAAGTTGCCTTAAACGTTTCATAAATACTTCAGATGCTGAGTTTATGCCATATGGCATCCTAGCAAAACAATATCTACCCCAAGGAGTATTAAATGTTGTTAGCCTGCTACTTTTTTTATTTAATTTAACTTGCCAAAAACCATTGCTACAATCCAATACAGAAAAAATTTTGGAACCTCTGACTTTGCTAATTATGTCATCTAAATTTGGTAAATAGTAATGTTCTCTCTTAATTGCATTGTTTAGATCTTTACTATCAATACAGAGTCTCAAGTCGTTATTTTGTTTTTTAACTATGACTAAACTGTTTACCCATTCTGTCGGTTCGTCCACTTTTTCTATGATCTTGGCTTGTTCTAGCTGCTTCAATTTCTCCTTAAGGCGTTCGTGAAGAGCATATGGCACTTTTCTCTGAGGGTGAATCCTTGGAGGTTTATTCTCATCTAGCTCAATATTGTATGTGCCTGGCAAGCATCCTATTCCCTGAAAAATATCATTATAATTATTAATTAATTTATCACAGCTTTTGTTTACGCTCACATTATTTACACAATTTTCAGGTACTCTTTCTATCAATTTTAACAATACACAGGAATTTCCATCCAGTATTGGTGGCTTATTTGTATTTACAATATTAAATTTAATTTTCACGCTTTTGCATTTAACATTGCACTGCTTTATTTTCAAATAAATAGTTCCCATTGAAATAATTTTTCCCTCGCTATAACCAACTAAATTAACGTCTGGTTTTTCTAGGTTTTCCACAGGAATGCTTAATTGTTTAAAATAATGCAAAGGTAAAATAGAAATATCCGCGCCAGTGTCTAATCTAAATGGTACCTTAATTTTATTATTTATGTATAAGTTTTGTATCCAATTTTGTTTATTATTACTTACAGAGTTGTTTTTTATGGTGAAAATGCTGAGTTCATCGTCTGAAACATCGCTAGAACTGGAAGAATTTTGCTGTTCTACATTGTTTACAAATTTTTTTCGATTGCACATTCGAGAAAAATGATTAAATTTGCTACATTTTTCGCACTGTTTACCAAAGGCTGGGCAGGCATTTAGCTTGTGCGATGTACCACATTTGTAACAATTATTAATAAAATTTTGTTTAAAATTTTGCGAGAAATTTGAAGAGTTAGGATGTTTACTTATCTTATTTCTATGGCCGCCATGTTGACGTTGAAATCCCTGATGTTCTTGACGTTTCTGCGACCAATGCGCATGCTCCTTGTTTGACGTTGAGGGACCATTTTGAAACTTGAATTTGCCGCCTTTTTTGCCCATTTTTACCATGCTGACCTCTGATTGACCTTTGGATGATTCTCCCATGATTTCCATTCTTTTCGCGGTTGCTTCTGCAGTCCTGCAAGTTTCCAGTGCCCTTGCAAGAGTGAGGTTATTCTCCCGAAGCAGTTTGTCCTTCATGGCCATGTCTGAAATCCCCAAAATCAGACGGTCTCGAATCAGGCTTTCTTCCAGGGTACTAAATTCACAGCTGCTAGCTAACTGTCTCAGCTCTGTGACATAGTCGTCGTAGCTTTCTTCTTCTTTCTTGTTTCTTGTGTTGAAAATATATCTTTCGTAGGTTATGTTCTTCGTAGGAGTGAAATATTCAGAAAATGCCTCAATTATATCTTTGCAATGGGTTTTATTTTTTCCTTGCTTCCATTGAAGGTTGTTGTAAATCTTTAGGGCTTTATCTCCAATTCGATTTAGTAAGATAAAACCTTTTTCTTCTTCTGTTTCCCCATTTTGTTTGCTAGCTTTTAGATATATTTCGAATTTTTGTTTGAAGAATGCCCAATTTTCAGCCATGTGCCCATTGAAACTCAGCTCACCTGGCGGGATTGCGTGTTCTTTGCCTGACGCCATGATGATGATGCTTCTTTTTTCTTTTCAGCTTGCTTTAACTTATCGCGATTTTGCCGAATTTACTTAATTTAGATGCGTGTTTTCGAGAATTCTGACACCATATCGTATTTTCACTGTTTTGTTTTCTACTTTTACTTAATAAAGATATTTGACTTCAATTTTATTTCTTAAAATTATCGATGTGAGGGAGCGAAAATAAAAACATGTTGCTCGGTGCAAGCCAGACCAGAAAGAGATTTATTAGATGAAGTATCTTTTGACAATGGTCATGCGCGATCTCGTGCGCAATATGTATTTAATAATGTTCATTTGATTTCAAGTTCAAATTCAAATATCACAAACACGAAGAAGTCTTATGAGCCCAAAAACATTGGAATTGCCGATAGAAACGATCAAGAATTGATTTTCCCTGCTGACGTTAAAGTAAGAATTATTTCTCTATCATCCCAAACGATTTTCCAATTTTTATTTAATATAAGTATTTCTTGTGAAAGTAGAAATTTTAAAGCCGTAAAATATTTATATCTAAAATGCCGTTTTAAGTAAGATAGGTAATGCTAAAAGTACATTAATGCAAAGAGCCTGTGGGTACGTTACATAACTTATTAGTTCAAAATCTGGGACTTCTGGCAGCAAATAATAATTGAGTCTTGTATTAAAATATCAAAGAATACTAACATAATTTATTATTTTAGATTGACAGAAACAACTACGTATGGGTGGTTTCAGACAGAATGCCGAAATTCCTCATATCAACCTTGGACTACAAAGAACCGAACTTCAGAGTATTCTTCGCGCCACTCGAGGTCCTTATTAAGGACACAGTTTGTGAGGATAACATCATTATTCCATCGGATCAGAGTAATTTATATTTGACCACTGACAAAACAATATTTACCAACCCTGAAATATATTTATCAACAAAATCCGAAGACAATATCCTTCAAGGAATATTGAATGGTCAAGTTTATCCTTCGTTGAACAAACCCCTTGGTAAAACTGATTTATTGTCACAATGGAATTATAGATATTAATAAGTTGTAAAAATAGATGAAATATTAACGTCTTCTGATTCAAAAACAAAATTACTTGCAAAAGTGTAGGTAGATATGTATATTAAATTTACCAAAGATTTACTGAACTTTCCCATTTCGATACAAATTATCAATTGTACATATTTAATACTGCTGAAAGTTCACTTTTCGGATTATTCAAATACTATGCACATTCCTATTTCAGAAAAATTTAAATTATACCTACTTATGCTTATTTCTGTTGTAAATAAAATCTATTACGTATGTGAATATTTTATTTTCATTATGTTTTTTTTTTTAATACAACTATTCCTAAGGATCGAATGCAAAAGTAAGTAGGTATTTGATTGAATGACTTTCTCAAAACAAACAAAAAACATAATCCTCTAATATACCAGGTATAAGTATACCTAGCTATGAGCCATTGATTTGTTTATAATAATTTATTCATGCATTTTACTCTCCCTGTTTTATTTTACCAGGAAATGTGAAACGCAAAATGAGAAACGATTAGCAAAATAGATATTTTACTACATGAAGGTATGTAGCTACTCTATCATTATATTTGCCCTAACAAACCTTTCCTTTATGTAACAACAGGAAATTGTGGTATTTCAACATTAGGTAAACATATTAAAAAATTGAATTTATTTTTTCACTTACCTTGTATAATCTGGCTGTGAATTTTAGATTACCAGCAGCAAAGTCTGTTACAGCAGGATCTGAAGCTACAATGGCCACTAGGGCTAGGGAAAATAGGGCTACTAGCTTCATGGTAAATAACTGAAAAAATAATAATAATTTATTATTCTGTGCAGCAAATAAGTACAAAACTCTTATCGCTAACAATTACTTATAACTAATTCGTTTGCTAATTTTATGCACGTTTTGAACATAAATACTTACAAATTATAAATGAATATATCACATAAAAGATTTTAGTAAAAAACAACTCAGTTCCTTAGGTAACTATCTACCAGTAAACGCTAGAAAGTTCAATTATTGAGTGAAGTTCAAGCCGTTTGTAATTTTACTGCTGCGGGATGCAAAAAAAACATTAGTACTGTCGACAACAATAAAAACTAAAATAAAACCCATGGTTGGGGAAATCCAACGACACTATATGCATAATATGTATTATTAATCGTCACCGTATATGGTTAAATGTTTAACCAGTCGACGAGATTCTAGTTTGAGAGAACTTAATCGGAAATTTTTTTAATGCTGTTCCTATGGTTAATTTTTTTAAGTACCTACCTAATGCATATTTACTTACATACTGTTTGTTTTGCAACGAGAAAAGAAAAAATAATAGGTGAACTACATGTAACATCATTTATTCTGGAAGCAGGTTATTGGTTATTACAACGATTTCCCAAAAACCTGGGACAGGGTGTGGCTTCTTTAGTATCTTCACTTATCAAATATCAAGAAGCTATCCCTAGAATGGAGAGGATGAAGTCATACTTGTCTGATCTTTGACAGATGGTAATGGTTTCCGGATCATGTCAAATGATAGCATTCTAGCGTAAGCTCCCATGGCCATAAGTATTGGTTCAGTTTTTTGGTACCTATTACTCACGATTTAAAGTCTACCGAATGAGTTAGATCGCTAAGTCCGATGGTGTAATGTCTCTTCTTTTGAGGTGTGTAACAAAATCTTCTGAAGACACCTGACCTGTTATTCTGACAGTCAACTTCTCTGGAAAATCGCCAACGAGTGAAAAATTCCCCCCTAAAGATATAGGTAGGTAACAACTTTGTTTCAAAAACCGCTCTAGCATTACTTTGGTGTAAGCTGCTGCTGCTAGTCCTCTTTCGGCTGGATTCCACTCTCTTTTTACTTCGTTCTAACTATTTTTCCAACTGTGGGATATGCATTTATCCATTCTGGTTCTGGTCCAGTAAGACTCATCATATTTATAACGTTGAAGTTGTTCTACGTCATATACATCAGATTGAACTCTCTTGGCATGTTATGATATTTGACTTTATACACTTTAGATTATAGGTTGGTCTTTTTTAAAGCAGCGTCGGTAATAATCCACCTGTCTAAAGGGGCTATCTCAACGTTAGCTATGAGTCTGTATCAGATGTACAATAAGAGTGTTCCGGCTCAGTGAAGTAGGCAGGAAAACTTGAAGCACAAAAGTTTAATTTTGCCTGATAGTTTAGCGCTAGAGCTTCAATGTCCAAATTAGCAACCCTGTGCCTGCCTACTTCACAGAGCCGAGTTTGCCCTCTACGTCTAAGATTCAAATTTCCATATCTATGATGCTGGATCCTCGAACGGAACTAATAGCACTGGTATTGCTGTCTGCATTCGGATGAGAAACTATTGAGCTATGACGTGCAAAACTTACATTGAATTGTACACTGACAGACCGTATTCGTTCCATCAACAGTATTTTCAAGGTCTTTTTATTCCAGGTCTGTAGGTAGTTCTTGAACGCCAAATTTTGCAAACCTGGTATTATTCTTACAGTCAAAAATCACAAATAGTTACCCAAGGCCATTATTTTTAGTAGCTGTACCACAGCTTGCTGTACTATATCGTCAGCATACATAATCAATTTTATCCTCCTTTTCCTAGAGCCTAAAGGTTTTTAGAATTATATTGATTGCCAACAGCTACAAAAGTGGAGTGCAGTCCTCCTTGTGAAATCCTTCTTGTTGTTCTTTTCCTTATGGTATAGTCACCAATTTCTGAATAAATGATTCATCATTTCTATTGTTCATTGTATAATGACTGGTTCTTCATGAATTTTTCAACGGACTCAATCATTACATTATAAAATGCACCCTCTTATGTCTAGAAATGTATTTAGTGTATATTCCTTATTCTCAAGAGATTTTTGAATTGTTCCAACTTCCTCATGTAGTGCACTTTCAACTGAATTTTTTTTAGGTATGCATGTTGGTCTGGGCATTGCGTGTTTATTCCCTGGCAGAAAATAAATGACGTTATTTCGGAAACAGGGAATGCAGGTATGGATATATACTCGTACTAGCAGAGACCAAAAAGAAAGGGCAAGGCTCAAAAAATTTAGGGTACTATACGATCAGTTTTTCTAAGGAATAGCAAAAAATAAAAGAGCCCAGCAAGGTGTGTCCATGCTAATCAAGAATTTAGGAAGATAGCATAGGTCTTGCAACGTCTTGGGAATATCGGGGTCGGACATTATTTAGTAACTTCCGAGTAGGTATGTATTTTTCTAGGAAATACCTAAAATATATCTTGTTACAAAGACCTCTCATGCTGAGTATCTTGTAGAACAAAGACCCATGGACGTTACGGAAGGAAATCCTGGGGTTGTGTAAACAAAACTCCTACGAAGGATCAAAGAGAACTGCTACGGATGTTAAGAATAGAAAATTTGAGGAGATCGAAAAAGAACATACATGGAATATTCGAAGAAGAATTCCCAGGGAGGTCCAAGAAGAACTTCCAGGGACGTTTGGAGTGATATGCGATTTAAAACGAAATGTGACGAAAGTCCTCAGGATGTCACAAACGCATATATACCTAGATTAATCGTTTGCGAAAATTCTGAAACGCTCAGACTTGGTTGATGGACTGGGTTCTGAAATGGTCGTCCTCAGGATGTCATACGTTTCTAGATTAGCCGTTAGCGGACGTTTTCAGGATCTCGGTTTTTAGTCTGTGACTATATAAGACTTATATGGGATCTAAAACAGACGTCCTGGGGACGACTTGTGCTATCTGGGATATAGATTGGATTGGGAATATTGGGATAGCGAGGATACCCCAGTAATCCCTGCATTAGTGCATAATATCACAGCAAACATTACCACAGATCGTCTTCCATTCCAAATAAGTTCTTCTGGCTCTTGTGTTTTCCTCAAAGTCTTGCCAAATTCTTTGTTCTAACTACTTCTATTTCGAATACATTCTTCACGAAGTTGAGAGCGATTTCACTATTCTACCAATGCCTTTGCATGCATATATTTAAAAACAAAATACATATACCTAGGTACAGAGTACAGGGAAAGAGTACTAATAATATAAATTGCCAATTGTACATATCCGCCAAAATAAACAGTACCTACTGAACATATAAATTATATCATTTATTAATTTGTATCATGCGTATATGTTCAAAAAATGCATCATAGCGACGCAAAAAAGTTTCATAACGATTCTGCAAATCAATGAAAATATTTATTAAGTGGTTGCTGAAATTTTTCTGAGACTTGTTTCAAACTTACCTAACCTTTTTTTTCTTCCAAATCCGTATGACCAGAAATAGTGCTCTACTAAGAAAACTGTTTCTTAAGTTGAAAGACACATTCCGCGTGTGGCTAAATTCAGCTGGTGCAGGCACCGTGGTAGAATGGTAGAAAAAGCAGTGTTGTTAAATTAAACAGGGTTTGGCAAGCTATGGTTTAGCATTGGCATTAGTGAATTTCAATCTCCGCATCCGTGGCGGTGCAACATTTTGGTGAATTTAGCAACACGCGGATAATGATGAAGATTTTAACCTTAACTTAATGTCAACCTCATAACTAATGCCAATAGTAAGCGAAATATGATAAATGCAACTTGCGTGCGCAATTATTCAGAGCTCCAGATTTCAGTACCTACTGTTTATTTTGGCGGATACCGTATTTGTTAATGACAATATGAAAGTGATAGGTACCTATGTATACATAATTCAAAAAACGACATTCAAGGGGAATAGAGTATAATAATCCAGACGGAAAACACTGGAAGGAATCAGAACGAGCTATCGACCACTATCTTTCTCGGATGATGTAAAGTATTTGGGGTCACCTTGGGACAACAAACTTACTTGGAACAGCCATCTGAACAAAATAATTTCAAGAGCCTTCAGACAGCGTATACACAGCCTTAAAGAGGTCTTTTTTAGGCCTGCATTGCGTCTGAACATCTGAAGACCAAAAAAAGACGTCTAGGAGACGTCCATAAGAAGACGTAAATTCACATCTTAAAGATAACTGAGCCAAAGTATTTGGTACAACCGGGCTTGAAAGTGAATAATTGTTTATGTAGTGAGAAGAGATTCAAAGACGTCTTTAAGATATCTTTAGAATGACTTAGACGTCTGAAAGACGTTGGGTTTCGTAACATACGACTTCTTTAAGATGCGAAAAAGTGAGCAGACGTCTAAAAAATTTATTGAATTTCGTTCGTGGACATCTCAGGGTCGTTTTAAGTCGTAGATGTCCAAAAAATTCCTACTACAGTATTCGTTTCTTATTCAATTTAGAAGTTACTGGGAACCATATAAAATGCTAGAGTACACTTTAAAACTATGATAAACACTTAAAATTCAATTCAGAATTCAAAAGCATTCTGTAGCGCTTCAGAACAATTTGGAAACTTCAAAACCATTTTAGAATGCTCCAAAACATTCAAAAACCGATTTACAATAATTTCCAAAATCATTTTAGAACAATTCATATGTTTGAAACCCATTTTAGGATGCTCTAAAACACTCAAACACTCTAGAATCTCCAGAAACATTTTGAAAAGCGCCAGAGTCTTAGGATTCATGTTAAAAGTTACAAAACGCCTTTCGGAAAACGTTGAAGAGCGAATTTAAATTGCTATAGAACTCAAAATCTTTATAATAAGCATTGAAAACATTTCAAATCCAGAATTTTCAGGAGCTTTCTGGAACAATTTGGAAACTTTGGAGCTTCAATGGGGCTCTAAAATACTTAAAAATCTGTCAGAACAATTTAGAAGTTACTTAAAAACTTCTTAAATGCTCCAAGGATCTTCAAGCCAAGTTAGAACACTTTAGAACTTCAATAAGCCATTTAGATCGTTCCAAAACACTTTTCAGTAGCATTTTAAAAGGCTTCAGAACAATTTCAATACCTCAGAATTATTTCAGAGAGCCTAACGTTTGGGATAGACAAAAATTGAAAGTTATTAAATGAGTAATAATAATGAAATATTAGTCCTGAAGAAGTTTTTAGGCAGACATCTGAAAGACGTTGGGTTTAACATATGACATCTTCAGGGTGTCTTTTAGGCGTAAGCAGACGTCTTAAATGTCGTTTGTGGACATATTAGTCTTTAAGATGTATCTGTGCTGTCTGGGACCCAGATGGGTTCGAAAAACGCCGGAGAAAGTCGGCTCATCAATCAATCAATCAAGCGAGTCTAGAAGCTCTATAAATTGCACATCGCAGCTGCTTTGGGAAGGCAAATTCTAGGTAAATCCTCAACCGATACTGGGGAACGAAGTGAACTTGACATCGCCACTAGGACATCAAGGAATAGATGGCAACAAGAAAGCAGTTTTTTATGGTATAAGAAGGTGCCACGATACTTTCCCAAGGCCCAGAGGCGGGATTCTGTAACGGATAGGGATCGTTATCTCTATCGCTATGTCACTTGCTGTCTTCTTCCTTCTCAATAGAGATAGCGAAAATGTATCTAATCGTTATAGAATCCCAGTCCAGAGCTTTTCTGTGGATAGATGAAGAGCACTTTTATATGGAAAAACTGAACAGATAGAAAAAGAACCAAACATTAACTTATGGAAGATCCACTCAAGGTCTGAGACAGGCAAAAAAGTTTAAAATTCATCTCGGCAAAAAGGTCTAAATAACTTGAACAGAAGAGACATTAGAGCAGTCCTCGGCATGCTTTTTCGCCTATACCTATACAACAACTAGAAGCAGTCAAGCTCAAAATTTAGATATGTACCACTGCCGAGATCACTGCTGAGCGGTTGGTATTTGTCCAAAACGACTCTAGATACAATCTGCCTATTAAGGACTCTCATTTTTCTGTGCTTTGAACCTATAATATTCGATTCTCGAAAAGATCTGCAACAGAGCTAGTAACTACGAATTGCTTGGGATAAATGAAGCCCACAAACTCTTCTGAAGTGTCTTCCATACGTTGGCAAATTTCCATATGAATGTTTAGAGGCATACTGTACTAAAGTATCGGCAATGGTTCTGGAAAGTTTTACTTCAAAAACTGATTTTTTCTAGATTCCTCATAACATGAGGAGGCTAAAGGGCTTCACGTTCAACGTTCACTTTACTTCAACTTAAAGTTCGTAACAGTTCTGTTTTGCTCAACAGAGTTTATAACATGTTTATACTTAGTTATAGATTTCAGTGCAAACTTGTTAAAAGTTCCATAAAATGTCTACTTGTTTAGCGGATTAGTGATTTCTCGTTATAAGATCTCGTTGACCAAAAGCATAACACAAATACGGGTAAACAATCTATTCAGTTTTTTTTTTATGATGGATTATTAATTATCTACTACAACAGTTCGCATTAAATTATTGTGTCAGGATTTACGCAAGTGATGGTAAAAGATTTTTTTTTTTGCGGTTTGCTAACTACCTACTTACTTTAAGCAGGAACCAAGAGCAATTTATTTTTATACTAACTAATTAAATTTTATCGATAATAAGCCAGCATACTTCTGTACCTAGGTAGGTATATAACAAATCAGAGATTATTGTTATTACGTAGGCAAATCTCCAAGAAAAACCGACAATGAAATATTAACGTCGCTTATAAACAATTTGATAAGAAAGCATGCAACGTACGTTTCCTATAAGAAATTGAATCAAGTAAATAAAGTCATAATAAATAACTAGAATTTAACAAAAATTGTTATTGTAAATAAAAGACCGGTCAACATAAACACAATAGGAAAACTACCTAAAATAATTAGCCATAATTACCGGCACCTACCAGGAAAGTTATAATATGGGTAAAAATTGACTAACCCCCGAAAGATGATAATAATTATCTTATAAGGATTAACAACTAAGGTATCAATTGGTACTGGTACTTACCCTTTTTAAGGACCTTCAAGTGTCACTACCGATTTGGTACTACTACTGGTTCTTCTTCTAGACCGGTATGAGCACTTTGGGTAACTTCTATAATCGGCTTACTTAAGGTGAAGGCCAAAAATATAATAACAATATTCTTGAATTGCGGACGACCATACAAGTAGGTAGACGAATAATACTTAACTTAATTATTAGCGTTTCGAGTTGTTATATTATGCATGCTGAGTGTCTTTATGACGTTTTAATTTGTTAAGTATAGTGTGTTAGTCTGTCTAGTATCCTAGGGAACATGAATTTTAGTCGGCGTCATTGATTTATGTTTGAATTTGAATCATTTTTAAACTATTCTGGCATTTTTTTTTATTGAAGAAAAGTACCTACCTACATACTTTCAAAATAGTAGTAGGTACCTATTACATCTAAATTTACCCTCAAACGCAAAGTAACTATATGCGAAAAAGTAGCATAAACTTTATTCTGTTTTATACTTGTATTTTGGTCTGTTTTGTCCCTGAAATAAAAATTTAACAACTAAAGTTAGGTAATGTTAAATTTTATAGTGTAAATATTTTTAGGGAATATTAATTGTTTTTTAACAGGCTAATAAAGTGGTAAGCGCACAATAAAATTTCCTATAATTATTATAGTTATTCCATCCCATTCGATACTCAAACACATTCTTCTTTGTTTTATGCTTTGTTCAAAAAACATATTAAAAATGCAATTTTTTTTAACATAGAATGGTAGAACTATTAACTGTTTATTTATCATATAAACTGAGTAGAGGTTGTATCATATCAGAGTTCAAACCAAATAAGTAGAGGTATTTAGCATATGCATTTATTTTTTATGCAATTTCATCAAAACGTTGATAATCCCATATAGATAAAATAAAATTTACATACAGGGTGTTAATAAAGTTTGAATGATTGTGTTTTTTTAATAAACGAAGCACCTGAGCTGTAAACGCTCCGACACATGGATTTTTCCAGAAAAATGTTTTTTTTTTTCAATTTGATCCACCTTGTACCCTTCACTATTTATAAAATCTCAATGTATTTCATTTTATTGGAAACACCATGTGAAGAAAAAAATCACTTCTTTTCTAACATTTTTAATGGCTCGTGAAAGTGCACAGATACACTAATCAGGAAAATTTATACAGGGTTTATTAGGAAAACTACAGAGTATAGTTGAGAGTCAACGTTGCAAATTTTCCTCATTACCTACTTTTTATCTTGGTTCAAGATTGTTGAAGCCCCCGATAGAAGGATTGTCCTAATTGACATGGAAAACATCCAAACATATTCGATAACCTTCTCCGTATTACTTCTATAAATAACGTCAAACACTTACTCATTTAATTTTTATCAAACAAACAATTATTATAATTTAGTATTATCTATTTATTTATTTGCAACCCATTATCAACATTGCATTTTTTTATAATTTATTATTGTTTTTTATTTCTAGTTTATTAATATGCGGCACAAACAAAAAACACATCCACCAGAAAACAGTAATTTATTTAGAACTAACTTTGGCAATTATATTATAATTTATAAAATTGGTATAAATACCAAAGTGAAATGGAGAAAAAAGACAAGGCACTACAAGAATAAAATGATGATAAAAACTACAAAATTGTAAAACAATTCACAAATAAAATACTGAAAACACACAGGGCACACAATAATCATTTTGTATCATTTGGCACTTCATTGTCGAAATCGACTCTTTCATAGACCAGCACCAGAGTGCCAATTTTGGTACTTACAGGTATGTTGCAGTGGAAATATTGCTGTATTCTTTTGTACCTAAATTTGAAAACATTTATAATTTTCAGCAAATTACAAACTGTTGACTCACCTAGTTAAAATATCACTTCCAATAAGGGCCACCAAATTGTCGAAGCAAATAATGTGCGATGGTAAAGGATCTCTTGGAGGATAATTTTGTCTCAGCCAAATGTTGGGGTTTTTGTAAAATTGATCTGCCTCGTCCACGTAGCCTTCGATGTTGTTTAAATTGGGATTGCATGTTAGAAATTTGGTTGTAACATTCAAGTGTAGATGACTGGAAATAAAAATGTATTTTAGTGGAATATTTCAATCAATAAGTCAATGTGAAATTGCTTTATTATCCAAGGTACAATCTTGTTGAATTAACAAGTAATGTAAAAATTGAGAATGGAATAATATTGGTAATTGTTGTGTAATTTATTGTCAGCCAGCATGTCAAGAGCATAATCTGAAAGAAGAGACAAGATTCTAAGGGAAACATCATCTTCAAAGCCCTATCTGACTTTTGTATAATTATGCATGTATTTTCCCTTAGTTTGTAAATAATACTGGTGGCCAAATAAAATGTTTTATATATGAAAGTATCGCTCAACTAGTCGATTGTGAATATAGTAGGAGACTTTGTATGAACGTGTATATTTTCTAATTAAGAAGAGCAAAGCGCTTTCGGCTAATCAGCCATCATCAGTGTCAACAAAAATTGAACAATGAGAGTGGTATAAGTACTTGAAAAACAAATAGTTTATAACTTACGAGTCAAAAAAAAAAATGGAAGACTATCTGCAAGGACATCCACAACACAGAAAAACATGCCTGGACTATCACACTTAAAATTACTATAATTAACAATTAATTTTTGAAAAAATATTTGCAAAGAATGTACATTAATGAATTTGGGTAGATATTATATTCAGAGACTTCACAATTTTTTTCCTTTTGAAAATTTAATACATATTTAGATTCAGGTATGGGTGTACGTGGGAGATTAAAATATATCCACAAAAATAAAAGAGCCATCATACAGGTGCGCTCACAAAAGTTAAGATAACTACTTCAATATAGTAGCGGAAGAATTAGGTCGTGCCTATAGGGAAGCTATTCTATTCAATCTCCGATTTAAGGGTAAGTAGGACCTATTTAATTGTACTTGGGTATTCAAGCAACGGTGGTTGGATAATCTCTTCTTAGAAAATTTTTGCTGGCAACATTTATCAACAGAAAGGAATTCTTGTCTCTGTCAAATTGATGTTTTGGAAATTTAATATGGTGACCAAATGGCGATTCATTAGGATTTTTGAGATGTTCATCTATCCTGGTGTTTAGGTTTCTGCAAGTTCTTCCAATACAGGTGGTTTCACATTCAGAGCAACTTAATTTATATACACCACTTTTTTGAAGTTTGTGTATTTTATCTTTGTTGTTAACTAATGATTTGCTCAAATTGTTCTTATGGGATATTTGAACATTGGGAATATATTATTTTAGCAGATGTGAAACATTTTTTGTCAAACTATTGTCCAAATAAGGAAAACTTACATATCTGGGGTAATGATTTTAAATTTGATTTTGTGTATATTTTTGTCAATTAAATTAGGGTCATAACCAAGCGCGGATTAAATTTTTCAATTAAAGAGACGTTTGACTGATCTTGATCTCACTTTGCTACAGAACTTGATGTGTTATTGGAACAAATATTTATCCCTTCGGAAGTTAGAACGGTTGTAAGGGATGACTTGCATGTGTGCTTACATAAGTTCCAAAGAAATAAGAACAATTCTTGTCCTTCCAAACAGCATAAAATATTCAACTCCACCCTCAAAAAAATCAAATCTAAAGTGAAGGACGAAAGTTTGATCATTTCTAAAGGGGATAAGGGCAACTGCATGGTCATCATGAACAGTGTTGACTATAAGCTTAACTTGACTGTTTCCTTTTGGAAAATGATTTTAAAACTCTGGAATCAAACCCCCTAAAGAAGTTCATCACCAAAATAAAAACATAAGTTCGGGTTTGCGGTAACCTTTTGGAACAGTTCAATGCCCCAAAAACCTTGATCTCTAGCAACCCCACCCTTCCTAGATTGTACGGACTGCCAAAGTTTCATAAATCTAAAAGATGCTTTAATCTCGGCGAATCATAGCATGATCTCGTTTGACGTAGCCAACTTGTTCTCTTCTATACCTAAAAGGGAAACCGTTGTGTTGGTGGCTGATTGTTTGAGGTCAAAGCTTGTTTGTGAGGAGACAGTGGTTGACATATTAGCTTTATTAAACTTTTGCCACTCTCAGGACTTTTTCGTTTTTAATAACACCTTCTTCAACAACCTGACGGTCTTGCTATGGATAGTTGTCTTTCACCCTTCCTTGCTGATTTATTCATGGATAACTTGGAGCGCAATCACAATAATCAACAACGAGATAAAACACTACTCTAGATAGGTGGATGATTGTTTCCTTTTAATTGAAGGCAATTCCTCTACAGCAATTGACTTATTGAATAATATTAGATTTACTGTTGAAATAGAAGAGAACCAATGCCTTAATTTTTTAGATTTGACGATTGATAGGGAGGCCTCAGAATTGTCCTTTAGCATCTATAGAAAACCTACTCAAACCGACCATTCTATCAACGCTCTCTCCCACCACCCTTTCCAGCATAAAATAGCTGCTTTTAACTCCTATATCCATAGATTACCCAATATACTCCTCTCCGATTCTAATTATAAGACAGAAGGTAATACAATTAAACAGAACTTATGACCCTAATTTAATTGACAAAAAAATACACAAAATCAAATTTAAAATCCTTGAAAAATCCATCTATCCTACCCTTACCCCAGAAAATCCCAGATACGTGAGTCTTCCTTATTTGGACAATAGTTTGACAAAAAAAAAATGTTTCGCATCTGCTAAAACAACATATTCTTAATGTTCAAATATCCCATAAGAACAAGAACAATTTGAGCAAATCATTAGTTAACAACAAACATAAAATACACAAACTTCAAAAAAGTGGTGTACATAAATTAAGTTGCTTTGAATGTGAAACCACCTATATTGCAGAAACTTACACACCAGGCTAGATGAACATCTCAAAAATCCTAATAAATCGCCATCTGGTCACCACATTGAATTCTCAAAACATCAATTTGACATAGACAAGAATTCCGAACTCTTGATAGATGTTGTCAGCAAAATTTTTCTAGGACTGGATTTTCTTGAGGACATTGAAATTAATAAGGAAAGATTATCCAACCACCGTTGCTTGAATACCCAAGTACAATTAAATAGGTCCTACTTACCCTTACATCGGAGATTGAATAGAATAGCTTCCCTAAAACCACGATCTAATTCTTCCATTACTATATTAAAGTACCTAGCAGTTATCTTAACTCTTGTAAACGCACCTGTATGATGGCTTCTTTATTGTTGCGGATAGATATTAATCTCCCACACACACCCATACCTTAATCTAAACATTAAATTATAAAAAGGAAAAACAAAATAAATGAAAAATTTCGTTCAACTTGTTTAATATCGTTTATTAGTGTGAAGTCGAAAATAATATCTACCCAAGACCTTAAAACCCCCCTCGATTCCCATTCTTTCTTTTATTATCTCATTTCTTATATGGTCTCCTCTAGATATTCCCATTGCGTCCATTTCAACACTTTCCATTTTTATTTTGTATATTTCGGTTATGCAAAACAAGTCTCGTTTCCATACAGCAGCAAGTACGTTAGCATACTTTAGTTTTCACCATTATTTCATATATGTTCTTTACCTCTTCCTTTATCTCTCTGCTCCATAAAATACTGTTAAGACATACAATAAACTGTTTTGCTTTTAGTATTATTTTTCCGGTTCTTTACAATCTAGTATACATACCTACTTATTGCATGGAGAAATTTTTTGTCCCTTGTCCAGCTGTCACAACATTGGCTTCATTTACAATACATAAGTATGGTGTCTTGCTCATGGTTTAATACTAACTCCCACTTTTGGTATTATTCTGCTAACTTTCTCATCATATATTCCATGTCTTTTTTATCATTAGCAAACTGTAGTGCATATATGGTGAGAGTTCTGGAACTACAGCAACCCTGTCTCAATCCTTTGGTTACCAAGAATTTTTTCGTTAGTCAATTTCCAATTTTAATTTTAGATTTTGATCCTTTGTATGGTTCTTTTATCGTTTTTACGGATTTATGATTGATGTTAGTTTGTTCTAACACTGTCCATAATTTTTCTACTGGAAGCATATCACACGCTTTTTGTAGTGTTCTGTCCATTGTTCTAGTTTGATGATCTGAATGTTTACCTTTTCTTTTGTTTGGTTTATTACTGTAAAATTGAATTTCGACACAATTCAGAACTTTGCCTGCTTCCCACGCGTGTACTTGCGCTCACCCATTTAATTTTTTTGTGTATTAAAATCCGTAGCCGTCTTCTGGTTGCCCTGTAGATTTCTAGGTCTCTTTGGTCTTTAGTACTGAGCCATTTCGAGTACATATGTGCGTTTTTTCTCCCTCTCCATTTGTTGTATTTCCTCAGTCCACTACATACTACATACAAATGTGTGTTCTTCTGTTCTTCTAAATTTTCAACTGCTTCTAATACAATATTTGCGGTGTTTGCTACTTCTAGACTTCTAAAGTTCTATTCTGGATTTTCTTCAATGTTTTCTAGATTTTACCTATAGCAATGATTGACAAGATTTCTTGATGACTGAATCCCAGTACACTGATGCATATTCTTATGCTTAAAAATATTATTTTTCTCCGAATGACAGTAAAAGCGGCCTTTTAATGACACTTGACAGGATCAAAAGTTGTATTTTTACTGCCTAGGCAGTAAAAGTGGACTTTTACTACCTAGGCATTAAAAGTGACAGTGTCACAACATTCCAGGTAATAATTTCACTCAATTTTGTATTTGAAATTGATGTTGACAATGACAATTATTGTCAAAATAATTAAATTATTTGGATAATAATAATGAATGAAATAAATATAAAAAAAACGTCCATGTGTGAATTTGAACATTCGGAGAAAAATTATATGTTTTACATGGCAGAAAAGCAGATTTAATGCCTCGGCTGGTTTCCTAGCCTCGGCTATGAAACACCAGCCGCGGCAATAAATCTTGTACTTTTCTGCCTAGTGAAACAAATAACTATTATTCTTAGGTCGTGAGTTTCAGACAATTGAATTAAGCTCAAGCCATTATCATTTGTTGCTCCCTCTCCAAATTTTCCCACCACTTTGCTTTGGGTTGGTTTTCCAGTTCGACTATCAAAATCGTTAATCATAATTATCTTCCTTGTATTGGCAATTAATTTTGTAGCTACTCTTTCATCACCTGATGCCTGATGGTGCGTAGGCTGCTATTATGCTTATATTACGTCCAAGCATCTTTATGTCAACCCGAAGTATGTTCTAATTGTTCTCGTTAATGCATTCGTAGTCTGTCATCTTATCTTTGAGGTTTTTCATCAATAAAGATGCGCCTCTGGGCTGGAACTAAGTAATGGATAGAGATCGTTACCCCTATCGCTATGGCCTAAAAGTAACTCTAAACCATAAAACTATACAGAATTCAAAAACTGCCGCAGGAGAACTAAACACATGTTTCACAACCATTGCCGACAAGATTACAGAAAGCATTCCAGCAGTACCAAGGAAATACCAAATTAGTTCTCGAACATTCCCTACATTTTGTATAACTCCGAAAACAAAGGAAGAAATTATGGAAGTGATGAACACACTATCAAAGAAAAAATCCACCGGAATTGATGAATTAGACTTAGAATTCATGAAAAGCCTTCCTAAGCAGTGCCAAGACCTGATGGTGTCTGCCATGAATGATTCGTTCACAAATGGTATTTTCCCAAGCAGTATAAAGATATCAAGGATCATTCCAATACACAAAGGCGGTGACAACAATGAACCCTCAAACTTCAGACCCATCGCTGTGTTGTCAACCTTTTCAAAAATAATGGAAACAATGATTAAAAACAGGATGCTAACATTCATAGGAAAATACCATATTTGAAACAAACATCAGTTTGGCTTTCAGAAAAAAAAAGCACAGCAGACGCCATCGGGAATTGCATGGGGCGCATATATGAAGCAAGAAACACAAATAAAATAATGGTTATGGTGGGTCTCGGTCTGGAAAAAGCGTTCGATTGTGTCGATCTAAAAAAAAAAATATTATCAAAATTGACTGCCTATGGATTTCGTGGGACAATAGGTGCACAGATTGAGTCTTTTCTGAAGAAACGAAGGCAAGTGGTAGAAACTAAAGTTTATAACGGCCACGTGATTAGATCACAGATCAGAGACTTAAAGCATGGTGTTATACAGGGATCTACTTTGGGACTGCTCTTGTTCATACTTTACATATATGAACTGGCGACTCTACTCGTAAGTAGACACCTGACATTGTTTGCCGACGACACAACGATTACATGGACTGGCGACTGCGATCAAGACGTCCAAAGAAGGATGAGGTGAAAATGTTGAACAGCTGGTTTCATACAAATAAACTGTCGCTAAAAATCAGAAAAACTAAGTGCATTCATTTCAGCAATCCGACGAAAAATAAAATTCAGACAAAAATACGAAACACCCCTTTGACCATTGTAGGTGAATATAAATTTCTTGGAATAACCATCCAAAAAAATCTCAAATGGGATGTACATGTAGTGGCTGTAGCAAAGAAACTATCATCGGGACTGTTTGCAATAAACACCTCTTGGAAAAATCTTGGACCGGCTGTGGCAACTCAAATATAATTTTATTCTCTTTTCGAAACCAACAAGCGATATGGAATTCCAGTCTCTATTGGGGTCTCTCCACATCAGTAAATACAGAAACGATATTCTTATTACAGATAAGAGCAGTTCGCTTGCTCAAAGGAATATACAATCAGAGAATCCATTGCAGGGCATTGTTTTGAAAACATTAGATACTGACATAAACACCGAAATGATGTAGAACGACGCACAGATATACATCCCTATCATTTTATTTTGATATTGCTTTTTAAATTGTATTTTTTTTACGTGCAATCGATGACGTACAGCAGCAGTACTTATTGTGATATGGTGCCCTATTCTTGAATATGTTTTTGAGCTGAGAGGAGTTTTTTTGACATCTATGCGTCTGGTTGTTTGAAAGGGGTGCATGATGGAACCATACATTTTTCACCACAATCCAATTTTACTTTTTCAACAGTGTAAATACAGAGATTGTAATAAGCTTTATTTTGTTCTGATAGATAGATACCTATTTTGTAGGTTTTAGAATTTGTTGAGGTTTTGAACATTTGTAATGTCTTACTATGTAATGTGCATGCGAGTGTGCATGTGAGTGTGCATGTTTGTGAGATAAAAAATAAATAGATCAATATAAATCATAGATCACATCATTTGCTTGGGAGACTTTTCTTACCTATACAAAGGTGTAGAGTGGCAAGGCATCAAAAACAAAAAACTTATTTTTTCAGTATCATGCTGGGCAATATCTCTTAGTCCGTGCATGACATCTAGAGTGCCTCTTTGATGATTGTAGCCGACAAACCAAGCAGGAAACAAGTTGCAAATTAGGATTACGCCTGATACCAACCATATTGAGGTCCTGAAACATGTTTGTTTTACATTGTGTTAATGTGAAACAAGGTACACTTACATGCTGGCCTTTCTGCTCCATGCTGACAAAAACCTTGATGAAACATAAAACATCATTGGCAATAAAGGAAGCAAGAATCTATACTCTTTATGGCTCAAAAGACTGAAAATTATGAATAATTATTTGGTGATTGAACTAAATTATTTTACCTCAAAACAAAAACAGAAAATGTTATAGTACCAAGCATTGCTAATTCATTGGGATGGTTTTTTCTTGCTTTTAAAACAACTGAAGTAGCCATTATAAAACACAATATCTGAATACCTAAAACTGTAGGAATACCATTTGAAAGATACCAATGCCATGGATGTGTTCCATAGTTAGAAGCAATGTTTTGGAATACATTTGTTTTAAGGAAATTATATGGAGTCACTATGAAAGAACCGTGCACCAAACTATCCAGAGTTGTAGATACAATTAGAGCAATGAGACTAAAAAGTTTAATAAAATGAATTTTATAATAAAATATTTTGCAATAAAATTACCCAATAGGAATATATCTAGATACTACTAATCTAAAAACAGTCTTTTGTGAAGTGGCAAGATGAAACACACATAAAGGTAGCCAAACTATTGCACTGGTAGGTCTTAGAACAAACAAAAATGCAATAATCCAGATAAATTTTTCTGAATTTCCTATAACAAAAGTCACACATTAATATAAGGAAAATCAAACAAAGTAAATTAGTACCATTTTTAGTTCCACTCCAAGGAAACTTGGACAATGCAATAGTTGTTAGGCTGGCTTCAAATGTATTAATAAGTGTTCTGGAACCCATATAGAACCAGAACCAGGAGGTAGAGAGGGTGAAGACAGCCCATTTTTTCGTGCCTGACCATTTATAAAAACATAGGTCTGAGTAAGCGCTTAAAATTGCTTGAGCTATCCTAGGAAGATATATCTAAAATTGAAATTAATTATTGGATCTCATAATAGGTATGCCTCGAGGTAAGGACCCCAAACAAAAATAGGTTTCATTATGAATTAAAATATACTTGTAAGTTGATTGTAAAGGATTCTTACCACAGCTAAGGGAGTATCCAGTCTCAACAGTTGTAAAATTTTATAAATGAATGCGAAAATAAGTGGATAACCATAGCTTCGGATACCTTTATGCCATTCCCAAGTTAAATGCCCGTATCTGAAAACCAAATTGTGAGCAACTTCCAGTGATTGGTAATATTCGTCGGGCACGAAGAAAGTTCCCACTAGAACTACAGAGAGCAGCCTAACAAATAGAAATAGCAGAAATACGTCCAAGTTTTTCCAAGTTTTCAACTGCATGTTGGCGAATTTCGTGAAAATATTAGTTATTTTGTGATAAACTGAAGAAGTTCTTGCAATAGGAAGTTGTAACGTACGAGTCTCTATTAGTTGACCATGTTACAAAAATAGAAAAAGCCCCCTAGTAGGCTATAAATAATAGAAGCATCTTCAAAAAGTACATTGCTCATTGCTCAAGAAGTCAGTAAACTAAAAATTTGGGTTATGTTATGTAATTTTCAATCTGCGACGTTGCCATGTCAGATCCCAATCAGGGGGCAAGATTGTTTAGCGTTTTCATCAGTTGTATTCCTTTCAAAAGCTTGAAACACTCGAGCTACTCGCTCCGGTGTTTAGTCGCCCCCGATTTGCAGGGAACAGATGCGTGGTGCAATTAAGGGTGCAATCAAGGTTTTCGAAAGGAATAAGCGCGTGAAGCCTGGGAGCTGTTCCGGAGCTCCTCCTAGGTGTGGAAGGAATACAACTATTACAAACCTGCTCTGAGTTACTATTTCGAAATTATGGAATTGTGAACTCTCCAGTGCTACTCTGAGCTGGGTTCGGCTATTCAGCGTGGAGTTGGAGTGGAGTGAACTGAGCTAATGGAGTCACCCCTAATACGGTAAAAAGCAATACCCGAACCGCTGGTGTGCGAATGGAGTCACTCGGAGTGCACGGAGTGAGCAAGCCGAACCCACCTCCGAATGTCGAAAGGAGAGGCAGAACCAATTAGAGCAGAAGCACTAATTTATTTGGGACAGGGTTTGTAAGAGCTTATCGATACATATACATATCGATTCGCCAAATTTGTATCGATATGCACCATCATCCAGGGTCTATCGATCGATGTATATATCGATATATCGTATCGAAAAGCCCTCGTCTACCGTCTAGAGGTTTCCCCCTTCCCCAGAACCAGAATTTGTTTTTGTTTTATAATTTTTTTACTAAAAATGATCTGTGGTTTTATTTTATGTTTTGTTTAAACCATTTATTTTGATTTTATTTATAAAGATGAGCAATATAAGCGAATGGTCTCAATCAGCGGAATATTTGAGTTTTCGCAGCAATGTACCTTTGAGACGGATCGTAGTTGATTCCGATGATTCTAAGGTAAGAAAATTTTGCTTACCGCTATGATAGGGACCCTATAAACCCATTTCTTATAATGATTTTTCACATAATAATTCTTAATACTTACATTACAATACTACAATTAAAGGGTTGGCGCATATACGACTGTGGTCCTAAATCCGTTCAAAGCCCTTTGGTGTGTCTTCCTCCTGTTTCCGGCACAGCCGATATATTTTTCCGGCAAGCCTTAGCTTTATCTGCAAGGGGCGTCAGGGTTATTTTAGCCGAGGCACCGCCTTATTGGTCCACCAAAGAATGGTAAGTATTATCTCCCTGTGAATTCCCATGAAAATTCGTGTAGGTGTGACGGTTTCAGAAGACTTCTCGACTACCTCAATCTAAGCAGGGTACATTTATTCGGTGCTTCGCTAGGTGGTTACTTGGCTCAAAAATTTGCCGAATACACTTGTTCCTGTCCAAGAGTAGCTTCCATATCACTTTGCAATAGTTTTTCCGATACTAGTATATTTAGGGGAAACGAAAGTGCAGCTCTATATTGGATGTTGCCTGCATTAGTTCTGAAGAAAATGTTGATGTCAAACTTTGAACCTGAACCTGCTAAAGATTCAGATACAGTAAAAACTATTGATTTTATGGTTGAAAAGGTATTGATTCAGTTGTTCAATAAAAATTTAATTTCAAAATAAATAACTATATTATAGCTGGATAGTCTTACACAAAGTGAACTAGCCAGTCGTCTTACCTTGAACTGCATTAGGGGCTACGTAGAGGCTCATAAACTAAGAGATCTTCCTGTGACAATCATTGATGTTTTTAATGGGGCTCCTTTAAGCTCCCCAGTAAGGGAAGAATTGTACAAATGCTATCCACAAGCTAAATTGGCTCATTTGAAAACTGGAGGCTATTTTCCATTTTTAAGTCGCAGCGCTGAAGTGAATTTACATTTATTGGTAAGTTGATAATATTGTGAATCTTTATTGACTGATTCTAGATTCAAATCTTTTAGATTCACTTGAGGCAATTCGATAATACTCCTCTTGCTTCATCAGAAAAGCCATTGATAAATAACTCGCTTCCAGATTCCTGAAAAGTTTTATATTTTTGATTCTCAGAATTATATACTTAATGAACTAATCCTGATGTATAATTTTTCAAACAAATATTTTACTGGCCTACTTACATTTCAGGAATGTTGTATTCGTGATATTTTATTTTTTTTAAGACAATAATAACATAAATTATAATATGAATTTCAACTTTCATTATAAATCAACCATATCAGTTAGGTATGTGTGAAACTAGCCTTGTTATATAGACCTGGCCAGCCTACTAGACACAAAGGCTTCAATGGGACCAGTTTACTGTTAACCATTTCACTGCAGGATCGTCACAATGGACCATTGATTGTCCGTGCCTGTTATGTGTGCATCTTCGGCAGTTCGGGTATAAGCTTATTCCTTATTGCTCCCTATGTGTCTAGTAAGTTGGTCTGGTCTGTATAAGTAAATCATCAAAAATATTTACCAAAAGGAAACACATAATATTAAATAATAATTCAATATCTTTAAACTTACCAACTTTTAGGCGATTACCAAAAGGCAGGTTGAATTTTACTATTTTATGGTTTTGACTGATTTTTGAAATATTTCCAAAAGTGGAAGACTGAAAATTCAAGAAGTACTTATCCCTTCATTAATAAGTCTCCTTGAACAAAAATGTGCAATAATTACTTATAACAGGGTATAAGCGTTTAGGTATTTCTCCTTCATGTAGAAAGATTCTGCGTTTCCATACAAGTTTGTAACAACTCCGAAGGTTTGATTATTGCTTGAAAAAAGGTAAACAGAATGTAACATATAGAATAAATTCACTTTATGCTTACTAATGATTAGTATGGTTTAAAAAAATTTATTCGAAAACTATGCACCAATTTCTAATTTCAAACTACCTTAACCCGAGCCTTAGCATTTTTAGATTGTCTGCTTAGATTTTTTGTCATTTACATATTATTTTCTAATAGTTTTAAGGAATTGTGTATTTTTTCTCTACAATCATATTATAATCTCTGATTTCTTATTTTAACTTTGCTTATAAGATTTTTGAAAGCCAGAAGAAAAAGTGTTTGCGTTCTTTATGTCTAGAGTATGACTGTAAATCTAATAATATGTCAAAATTTATTGTAAAATTTTACATTATAAAATACTTAAGTATCCTAGTCTAAGATATATTTTGTGATACCCAATATCAAAAATCCTAAAAATATATACTGTAAAAATAATTATAAAATTGTATTCATCATAAAATCCACTAAATTGTCAATTTTTCAGCCTTACAAAATACTTTTCCTCCATTCTGGAATAGCCCTTAAAAAAATAACATAATTAATTGAAAATCAGGTTAAAAGTAAACTCTCTCACAGTTTAGGTGTAGCAAAAATCGGCAAAGGTCCTTGCCAAGGTTCTCTCAAAGCTCTCACCCTCTGAGCCCATTGAGCGGTAGGTTTCATCAGTCGTTCAGGATCTCTGGTAACAGGCGGTCCAGATTGGATTCGTTTTTTTGGTTTTTCTGTTTGTTTTTTGTGAATTTCGCGCATTTTTTCCACGTGAAGTTCGTCCATGGATTGGAATTGTTTTATTAGTTTGTTTGCATTAGTAGCCCTAAAGAAATTTATTTTGATGTTATTAGTTTTATATTTTGTTGTTGGTTTTTTTATACCTTCGTCTTTTTTCTAAATCCTCATAAATTCTTTGCTGGTGCCGTTTTGATTGTTCAAATAAAGTCTTCGATTCGCGCCATTCGTTGACTATTTTCTTTATTTCTATTTGTTGCTGCTTTCTGAGACGCTCTTTTTCTATTTTATAAAACATCTTTTGTTTTTCTATTTGTTGTTCAACTTGTTGTTTTTCTTCTTTTTCCATCTTAAATTTAATAACAATTTTTATTTGAATTAGACATTCTTATGTTAACTAAGTAGAACCACAAAGACACACAACAAAATCACAAAAATTAACGAACATGACAATGTAAGATCCATGAATAAGTGATATCTAAGCCTTTTGGGATTATCGCGCTTGGTGTATTGAAGTTTGGTTCCTTGTATAACCATTTGAATACTGTCATGATATTGGAGATTATTTATGGAATCCCACCTGTATTGCACATTTCGGTAGTGGCGGGGATTTCATATTGATATATATTAAAATGTTTACGAATAAAGAGGCAGACTTTTATGGTAGTAAAAACCAGTATTTTATTTTACCTGTCCCAACAACTCAACATGGCGCTGCGAACAGTTCAAATTCCCAAATAAAATCTAAATTTAATTTCGAAACGGAGAAGTTAGTGCTCGGTTCGCGTTAACTGGTGTTAATTTTCCCAATTCAAAAATTTATTGAAAAATAACCACGTGAGCAAGTTCTTCGAAATGGCGACTGGAATTGTGCCGCCATCAGCTATGGAATTCACAGGCTTGTTAGATGAAAATTGGAGATTCTACAAGCAAAAATTCGAATTATTCCTGAAAGCCACAGATGCTGGCAAAAAATCGTCCGAAGTTAGGGCATCAATCTTATTATCTACAATTGGAGATAACGCATTAAAAATTTACAATAATTTCAAATTTGAAGCCGATGAGGGCAAAATGGACTACAATGAGATCATTAAAAAGTTTGACAATCACTTTAAACCTGAGAAAAATTTAACATATGAACGCCACATGTTTTTTCTCAGAAATCAGAGCGATGGCGAAACCATTGACAGCTACGTCAATGAACTACGACACCTCAGTGCGACTTGTGAGTTCGGTGATATCCAAGACTCGTTAATTAAGGATCGTTTAGTCCTAGGCATAGGTGATGCAAGTGTAAAACAAAATCTACTTCTAATAAAGGATCTGACGTTAGAAAAAGCCATCGCCATTTGCAAGACTTCAGCGAGAACCAAATTACAGATGCAATCTCTGTCAGGTGAAATGAGCTCAATGTCGCTACACAACGTCAACCGACATAAATTTTCGAATACGCCTTCTTCTACAACCCAAGATTACTCGAGACCAGGGCCTAGTGTGCAAAACCCTTCCAGTCAACGAAAAATTCATCAAAAATTTTCCAACTACCACCAGCCTACTCAGCAGAGAAATCATCAATTGGGAAATCGATTCCAAGGACGACGTTCACAATCGCAGGTATTTTTGTGTAGAAATTGCGGATCTAAACATTCAATAAATCAATGTCCTGCTTTTGGTAAAAAATGTTTACATTGTAATAAATTAAATCACTTTGCAAAATATTGTAGGTCAGTTAATAAAATTCATATTGAAGATTCTAAGCTAGAAATAGAAAATAGTTCTGGTTCAGATTCAGATTATTTCATTGATTATATTTCCAAAATTAATATTATTCGAAAAAATGATTGGAACATAAATATGAATGTTCACAATGGAACTGCAATAAACTTTAAATTAGATACAGGGGCTGAAATAAATGCTATTCCCTCAAAATTCTTAAATAAGTTAAATATTCATGCAAATAATTTAATTCCTTGTGATCTTAAAATTTCTACTTATACTGGTACCAGGATAGAGATGTTAGGTAAGTGTTCTCTATTATGTAAATATAAAAATTTTCATGACTATATTACTTTTTACATAGTAAAAAATGAATTTTCTCCTGCCATTTTGGGTAAATCTGAATGTGTAAGGCTTAATCTTCTCAAATTTGTAGACGCAATTGAAAAAAATGTTTTTGAAAGTTATAATTGCATTTCGGAACAATTTAAGGATATTTTTGAGAGTATTGGAACCCTTAAATGTCCAAAATACCATATTAATGTTGACTCTTCTATAAAACCCGTTATAAACGCACCAAGGAAAGTACCTTTTTCAGTACAAAATAAATTAAAAACCCTATTAAAAGATCTAGAGAAAAAAAAAATAGTTGCTAAAGTAAATGAACCTACTGAATGGGTTATAATAGCTTAGTTTTAGTGCATAAACCTAACGGTGACCTAAGAATTTGCCTCGACCCCCAACAATTAAACAGGGCGATAATTCCTGAAAAATTTCCCCTTCCAACCTTGGATGAAATAATTTCTAAACTCACAAATGCGAAATATTTTTCCAAATTGGATGCCAGTCAAGCGTTCTGGCAAATTCAACTGGATAACGAAAGCTCTCACAGATGCACATTTAATTCTCCTTTTGGCAGATTTAGATTTTTGCGCATGCCATATGGAATTAAATCGGCATCTGAAGTCTTTCAAAAATACATAAAACAATACTTTGAGGACGTAGAAGGTGTTGTAAGTTATATTGATGATTTTTTGATTTGGGGTTCTACAAAGGAGGAGCACGACCATAGACTAAAGAATGCTCTCGAAAAAGCTCGCGAAATAAATCTTAAATTAAATTATAGTAAATGTGAATTTGGGGTTAAAAGAATAAAGTTCATGGGTCATAATTTTTCAAAACATGGGATCGAGCCTGACAATGATAAAGTTTTAGCCATAAAAAACTTCCAAAAACCGGAATGCAGGAAAGATGTTGAAAGATTTTTGGGCATAATAACTTATGTTTCCAAATTTATACCTAATATGTCATTTGAGACAGAAAATTTACGTATTCTGCTTAAAAAAGACGTACATTGGCATTGGGATCATCAACAAGAACAGACTTATACTCGTCTTAAAAATATCCTAACTCAAAATCCAGTCTTACAAATTTTTAATCCAGATAAGCCTATAACTTTATCTGTAGATGCTTCTCAAAATGCCATCGGTGCTGTATTGCTGCAAAATAGTTTACCTGTTTATTATGTCTCAAAAGCTTTAACAGATAGCCAGAAAAATTGGGCACAGATAGAGAAAGAAATGTACGCAATCACATATTCTTGTTTACGTTTCCATCAATATATTTATGGCAAAAATATAACTATTGAAACAGACCATAAACCGTTAATATCTATAATTAGAAAGCCACTAAATTCTTGTCCAATGAGACTACAACGCATGCTTATTCAAATACAACCATATAAAATAAACTTAATTTACAAACCAGGCAATCAAATTCCAATTGCTGATGCGTTATCCCGAGCACATGATTTCAAAATTATTACTGAATCCAACAAAGAGTCCGAGCTTGATAAAAAAAATTGAGGCTCAAATATTATCAATTGAAACAAATATTCCCGTATCAAGAGATAATCTACATAAAATTAGAGAAGAAATTAAAAAAGATTCTATCATTTTGAAAGTTATCAATTTTGTAAAAAATGGTTGGCCAAATTGCAAGAGATTGGACGAAAAAATTAAACCTTATTTTATTGCCCGACATTGTTTATCATTTTCTAAAGATTTGTTATTTTACAATAACAAAATCGTAATTCCTGAAACGTTGCAAAATGAGATGCTTTCTAAATTACATTTGAGTCACCTAGGCAGAGAAAAAACCAAATATCGAGCACGTTCAGTATTTTATTGGCCAAACATGACCCGAGATATTGACAATTTAATTTCCAACTGTAGATCTTGTGCAATATTTTCAAAATCTCCTTCTAAGGAACCACTTATCAATCATCCTATTCCAACAAGAGCTTGGCAAAAAATAGGTATTGATCTTTTTGAACTTCATTGCAAAATGTATCTTGTCATTGTTGATTATTTTTCTAAATTTGTAGAATTAAAAAAATTGCATAAAAACACAACTTCTGATAATGTAATTTTGCACTTGAAAGAAACTTTCTCCTTGTTGGGTATACCGGATGAAGTAATTTCTGATAATGGCCCCCAATTTTCTTCTAATTTATTTAGAGATTTTGCAAAATCTTGGGGATTCTTACATACTACTAGTAGCCCTTTATTTCCTCAATCCAATGGGCAAGTAGAAAGAACAGTAGGAACAATTAAATCTATTTTAAAGAAATGTTTCAATGACAAAACTGATCCGTATTTAGCCATTTTAGAATTACGTAACACACCAATAGATAACAATTTGTATTCTCCCGCTCAGCTATTGATGCATAGAAATTTGAAAAGTATATTGCCAGTCACTGAAGAGCACCTCAAATCAAAAATAATTAAAAATAGTTTTCACCGAAATAATCTGAAGCAAAAACAAAGAACTCAAAAAATGTATTTTGATCGTAAAACTAGAAAATTGAATGACTTGCTGATTAATCAGAAGGTATTGATAAAAAATTATGGACATTTTTCTTTACCTGGTAAAATTGTTAATGTGAATCACAAACGACGAAGCTATGACATTCAGATAGATGACACAAATAAAATAGTGACTAGAAATCGCCATAAAATTAAGTTAGACCCTGAAAAACCTTTAAACTTTCAAAATTCAGGAAGAGAAGAGAATGATGGTGATTTTTATGTAACCAAATTTGGTAGAACATCGAAACCGCCTCTGAGATATAATGCATGAAAAACCTCTTCACAGGTTAATTGAAATGTATCGCCGTTCATCAAGAAATGAACTCACATATTAATTGAATTTTTTTTAGAATTTTCGAATTGAACATTGGAATTACCTATTTGTTATTGATTTCGATAAACTTGCCAAATTCTTGAATAAATTAAATTGTTTATGTTCATGGATAAATATTGTCTTCAGTAAAAAATAGTTTTAAGTGTTTTATTATTATATCTAGCTTTAGAATAGGATAATGGTTATGGAACATCTGACACATTTTTATGTCATGATTATTTTCAACTATTGTTTATTGTATAAAAAGGGAGATGTCATGATATTGGAGATTATTTATGGAATCCCACCTGTATTGCACATTTCGGTAGTGGCGGGGATTTCATATTGATATATATTAAAATGTTTACGAATAAAGAGGCAGACTTTTATGGTAGTAAAAACCAGTATTTTATTTTACCTGTCCCAACAACTCAACAAATACCACTCGATGTGTCAGGATTACCTAATACTTTTACCTGACACTGAACACCACTCCTCCTTCGGAGTCGTGGTGTTGCTGTGTAACGCGCATTTCGTGACAGGTAAAAGTATTATTCGGTAATCCTGAAACCTCTTGTGGTATTACATTCGAAAATTCGCCAATTATAATCTCAGACATGAGGTCGATATACAGAACAAATAATGTATTATAAACTGGAGACTTTGGAAAAAATAGAAGAAGTAGTGGAAGACCCCAAATGAGATGTGAGGATGACCTGAAGAAGCACGCTGGAACTAGACGGATGAACATGGCGACAAACAGAGAAGAGTGGAAAAGATTATGTCCAAAGGTGGACCGAAGTGGGCTAAATATATACATAAATGTATACGAAAATTTTACCTTCCACTGTAGCAATTTTTCTCTCAACTTCAAACTGTTTTGTTTCTCATTTAGTTTATCACCAGTTTCAATATAATCATTAGCTAACTTAAAATGTTTTTCATTATTATTTTTATTCTGCTTCCATTTATTAATAGCCTCTTTCTTTTTTGATTGTAAATTTAAATATTTCTTGTACCATTCTTCGTGTAATTTTATATCTTCAATTGAGATATCTGGTAACATCTCGTGCAAATACATGGCCACATCATTAATTTTCTTGTATCTTCCTCGTATTTTCAAAAATAAAAGATGATCGTCCTTTCTCCAGCCATTTTCATGACCGCCACTTTGATGTACAAAGTCGAAAAATTGCTTAACTTCCTGAAAATAATTCTCAAAAGTGTTTTTGTAATTTTTTTTTTTTCAAAATTAACCATTACCTTACATTGTCCAGAATGTTTGCTTTTTATTCTTGCAGGAACAAACTCTAAACTTGAAAAATTCACAAGTTCACTCCAATCTAAGATCTTTTCATTGTAAAACATATTCAGTTCATCGTTTAAATCGTTTTCTAAACTTTTGAGTTTGTTTAGTTCAGCTTTTGAAGCTTTTTTCAAATTACTTATGTTCTCTTGGATACTTACCATTTCTGTTTTGAATTTCTCAAAGTCTAAAAATTGTTTCATAACTTTTTTTAAGTAATAGTTAAGTTGAGTAGCTGAACAAACCTTTTACTTGTTTCAAGTTCTTGTCCTTTAATAGGTCGGTTTTTGTTTTAAGAGCTTTAACGATATTATGAATATTTTCTTTAACAGAGCTTGTTTCCTGCAATCTATTATAAATTTTTTCTACGAGCGTCCGGAAAACGCGTTTCAACGCATTGATTTGCGTGCGGAAAATAACACTTTTTCGCACAGCTTGTAGGGTTGCCAGACCTCCTATTTTTAATATGAGACTCATATATTTTAGCTGTTTCTCATATCTCATATTAGCGTGTTTAATATGAGACTATTTCTCATATATTTTATTAAAAAAAAAAGGAACCATCTACAAAAAAAATATACCACTATTATCTTTACCGTACACGTGATAGGCTGGAGTGTCAGGCGTCCATTATCCGACCATCCGATGGTACGATGGAGCTCCTATTAACTGAAAAATTTCCTGCCACTTTTTATCCGAATATTTTCAACTTTTTTCTGACGTCGGACCAAATTAATAGTTATTTTTTATACAAGACGATAAAATGGTAGTTTATCGTTGACCGGAAAAGCTAATTCACAAGCGGAATCGGGAGTTCCTGAAGACGATAATGGCATTTTATCGTCATGTGTAAAACGAAGTTTTTTTCCATAGCCTAATTATGGACGCCTGTAGTATCAAAAATTTTTAGAAATTATTCAAGTCTAACACTTTTGCATAAGTAGAAATTCGTTTGACAAACTTTGACAAATAAATAAAAAACAAAATATGTACAATACAAATATATATTTTTGACAAAATAAACGTCTTTATCTATCCTTGCTGTTAAAGTATCATTTAATCTACCCTTGCGGTTAAAGTACTACTTTATCTACTATATGACTATATGTAGATTAAAGGCTACTTTACCAGTAGCTATGGAAAAAAATAATAAAGCGATTTTGGGTCAGGGATTTATTTAAACATCAAAAAACTCAAGGTGTTGGTCACGACTTGTTACAAGAAATAAGACTGATGATTCAGGAGGAGTATCTAACTACCTAAAAGAATATCCAGCAATACGTTCCAAAATCTGCTAAAAATCATAGCTATTTGTCATGATTAGAGCTTTTTCGGATTTGGGCATTTTGTAGTACATAAAATATTCTCATATATTATTATCCAATCTCATATAATTTTATACAGGGTCTCCTACTCGGTCTCCTACTATTTTCAAAGTGCAAGTATCTGGCAACCCTAACAGCTTGCGTGAAAAAATTCTAACGCACCGAGGAAAAGTAGTACTTTCCGCACGCAAATTGGTGAGTGAAAATGCGTTTTCTGTACGCTTGTAGGAAACGAAACCCACTGGCACGTCGAGTAAACGCCGTGGCCGTTGCATGCGGAAAAGTATAACTTTCCGCACTTGTTAAGTGAATAACTATACTAAAATTATTCATTTGAATTACAGCATTCCAATAATACCTCAATAAATCCGCATTATTACAGCAATGTGAAATTTCACTATCAAAGTACGGAATTGATTTTTCCAATTTGCACATCAACCCATTAATCGCTTTTTCTAAAGTTGCTTCTATATAATCAAGTTTAATAATTCCGCTGTTACTTAGAATTAACATTTTTCGGCGTTTTGTATTTTATTGATCAAACATTCAAATTTTTGCGCCATATGCCAATAATGAACATGGACATTTGGCAACGCTGCCTTAGGGCGAAAGCGACTGTTCAGAATAACGGTTCGGTTCGATAAACGGTGCACTAAATAATCGATGCGCTCGGGCGCAGTTAGTGAATTTCCAGAATACGAAAAGTTTGCTCCAGAGTAATAAGGACTAACTCTAAAAGCTCTAATTCGTAAATATAAAATGAAAAAACGTGATTAAAACGCTACTCTAATTGCTCCTCAAAGTGTTCTCGAACAATTTTTATGTACTAGTCAAATAACTTGACAGCGACAGGGAGTACTATTTTTTTTTCAGGTTATGAATATGAACCAGGTTTTGTTTTGTAAATTCAAAATAATTTTCTACATAAAATAACTAAAAAAACAACGAAAATTATCAAAATGTTATCTAGAAATCTAATTCGGGCTGTTCTTCAGGTAACCACATACTTAATAATTGAATTTTTTAATTTCTAATTTAATTATTATTGTAGAATAAACCCTTGTCAAGTACATGGCAGAAAATCTTTGTGAGGCAAAAGTCCTATACCCCACTAAACACCGTCATAATGTTTGTACCCCAGCAAGAGGTCAGTATCAATAATTAACTAATAAAAAATAGTCTCATTTATTTCCATTGTCAGCAAGGCAAAAGGCACCTGGCAATTGACCTGCCGGTATGGTAAAAAAGAATACATATTAATAGAATTTTTGAGACTACTTTAGTTCCAATACAATTTAAAACATCCATTATTACTCCTATATACATAAAGCAGGCAGTAAAAATGAAAATTAAAATTACAGAGGCCAATAAGTTCTGTATCAAATTTAAGTGAAATCAAAGAGTGAAATTTTTGAAAAGTATTTGAATGGACATTCAGTTAGATTTGAATTTAAATTGACCAATAAAGAACAAATTAAAAACTGTATAAAATCAATAAAAAAATACGGAATTTCTGTAAAGGAAGCTACCAGACATTGTGCTTGAAGTAGGTCATTGATATCTTGTATAAATTGGTCCCTAACAACAGGAATTTTTCCTTTATGTCAAGTCAGCTATAGTTATACCAATCTTAATAGGGGGCGATAGCGCTGACTAATCCAACTATAGGTCAATCTCTTTAGGCAGTTGATAGAGGTCCGAAAATTCGGATCTCTAGTGTTCATACTAAAGATCTGATAATTTTCGGATTTTCAATTTGTATATTAGGAATCCGAAAATGCAGATCTTTAGTGGTAATATTGAAGATCCGAAAATAGATGTTTATTTCTAATTCTGTCTAATTAAGGAGTATCGTCGGAAGTATGTACAAAGAATAATATTCGAGATAAGTCTGTTTCTGCAGAAATCACAAACCAGTCAGAGTGAATTTCATTGGTTGATACTAGTTTTCTGACTGTTTCTGACTGCTTTCAACCAATGAAATTTGCTCTTGACTAATTTGTGATTTCTGCAGAAACAGACTTATCTTGAATATTATTCTTTGTAGATATTTGCGACACCATTTTAATGAAACTAGCCCAAGAACCCAATACTACTGCACAAAACCAATTAGAAGAAAAAATAAAAAGTATTAAATTTCCTTTAAAACCCATAAAGTAAGACCCAAGAGACATCAGTTAACTGCAATTGGACTGAAAAGGTCTAAGAAAAATAAAAATGTTTTATTCAAAAATGAAGTTCCTAAACTGAGGCACCAAATAATGCTTAATGCAGTTTTAAATACAGATGATTTGGTAAGCAAAGCATTACCTACATATATAAAAACTTTAAAAATGAGAAATAAAACATTCCTCATCATCAACAAATTGACCCACTTCTTTTTGAAAAAGAAATATTTTTAGCAGAAATAGAAACATATTTTTGTCTAGATTCTTATGTTTTATTACAAAAACGAATTGGAGGAAAACAAAATAGTATTCTAAAATGGATTTGTGATATATAGTATTTTTAATACCCATTTAGAATAATTTCATCCTTATTTATCAATCATGAATCAGATGAAACAAAAAATTACCAACAAAAACGAATGTCGATTGCTAATACGTCAATTTCATGTACAAATAAGAAATTTCTAACCTAATTTTATTTATGTGTTCAAGAAGCGACATACGTTTAGTCACTAGAACAACTGGTACTTCTAAATGGGTATTAAAAATTCTATATGTAACAAAGTGATACATGAAGATTGCTTACGGTGTGATTCATGTCTTCGGTGTAAACATAAAGTGTGTTGTTCAGTAACAAAGCTGCCTTCTAGTAAGAAAGCCTGGTTTTGCATGCAGTGCAGAAGGAACTAAATCACACCTCACACCTCTAACCCTATCAACCCTTAAAATGAAGAAATATTTTTAATTATGTAATGTTTTAAAAAAACAAAAAGGTACCTACCTAGTTTTGTTTTTTGTACTTTTCTGTTTGAAATTGCACCAACCAAATATTTTCGAGTAAACTTGATTAGCTATTCTACATAAAAAGGATTAGAGGATCCATTTTTTCTAGTATAAATCCTTAAAAATACAAGCATTTTATCAATTTTATTGAAATGGTATAATATTCCTTAATTACGACAGAATTAGAAATAAACATCTATTTTCGGATCTTCAATAATACCACTGAAGATCCGCATTTTCGGACCTCTAATATACAATTTGAAAATCCGAGAATTATCGGAACTTTAGTATGAACACTAGAGATCCGAATTTTCGGACCTCTATCCACTGCCATCTCTTTATTAAGCACCCTTTCTAAGATCATGGAAAAAATTGTTAAGGAACAAGAACAAGCTTCAATACTTGAATGAACATAACATCCTGAGTCAAAATTAGTTTGGGCTTTCAGGGATCCAGGGGTTTGTACCTTGGTTTGAATGAGAGGAAGGTTGCAGCAGCAGTGTTCTGTGATTTTTTTAAAGACTTTCAATACAGTTAACCATGGAATACTGCTGCGGAAACTGGGTCACCATGGTGTCCTGGGGACTGAGTCGTGCTGATTTAGCTCAATGCTTTCGGAAAAAAATCAATTTGTTCAGTCGAATGGTGTTGATTTGGGTGCAAAGGGCATTTTAAGGGTTCGGTTTTGGGGCCGATCTTTCTCATCTACATTTGCCGACGACACAAGTGCATTATGGACTCCAGGGCCGCCGCTACCACGTGTGCAGTGTGTTCAATACACAGTCGGGGTAAAAACGAAGGATCACGGCGCTTGACAGTAATAGGCAATCCTCCTTGTTTATAAATCCTTGGTTTGTGTTAATCATTCGTCGGCTTTCATTGTCATTAGCTGTTTTTTTTCCGTCTCTCTAAATTATATCTTTTTTCTCATGTAACAAAATCCCAAAACGTGACGTTAAGTGACGCGTCCTTCAAATCACTCTCCATTTTCGACAAAATATACCGCCGCCTAAAGAAAATTCCTCGGAAAATTCGCTTCAAAATAAATCATGGGTAGCCGTAGCCATCGACTTTTATCAAAAATAAATCTCTCAAACAAATAAACCATCAAGCTAAGGCGGGCGGCCACTGCGAGCGGAACGAAACTAAGCTAAGAGAAGATAAGTTTTCGGTAAATTAGTTACCATACTCTCAAATATCCCCTCGGCCATTTTAGCTAAACTAAGTGAAGATTTGTCAAGGAAGATTAAAATCTTAGTTTCGTTTCGTTCGATTAAGCTCGTGTTAGATTCGAACGAAATTTTTCGCTACGAATTTATTATTATATTATTCCCACTGTGTTTGCACATAAAAAGTATGATTCTGCAGATGCTGACTTCGAATACAGATCCATTTTTGTTGCAACAGGACTCATTCTAACTTTTTAAATAAATTTATAGGTCTTTCCGCATGAAAACACAGCTGAGAACTAAACGAAAATCGTTCACAGTGGCCGCTCAAACTTAGTTAAGTTTAGTTACCGTTAGCTTCGTCTAGCACAGCTTAGTTTCGTTTCGCTCGCAGTGGCCGCCCGCCTTTAATAACGAAAATAAACCGAAAGTACTTCTTCACAAATTTGTATTAGGTACATCCCTACCTAATATCATAATACAAGCAAATAAACACTTGAGTTTTCAAATTTTATTCTTTATTGGGATATCAAATGCAAATGTCGACGAAAGACGCAATCGGACATTACAGCGGAACAAACTAATAAGGTTTTTGGAGTGAAACTTCTTAAGGCGGCGGGCGGTCTGATATGGAAGTGATATGAAAGACGCGTTACGTTTTGGCAAATTACGTTACACCAGAGAGAAGAAAAATGTAACGTAGAGAGAAAGAGGAAGACAGCCGACGAACCATTGACACAAAGAGGATTGCCTATTATAGTCAAGCGCCGATACCCTTGTGACGTCACTACAGATGCGCGTCTCCCTTTTGTGTGGTCCTTCCTTCATCTTTACCACGAATGTTTGCCACGACTCATACGCTAGTATCTTAAAGTCTAAAAACTGTATTCCATTCCAACGCTCCTAATTTGTACTTTAGAGGGAGTGGGGCGGCGAAAATTGTCTGGGCACACAGGCGGCCGACACCCTAGCGGCGCCGGCGGCCCTGTGGACTACGAAAGAAAATCTAACCAACTTCAATACAGTAGTTATAGAGAACAATCTTTCGAAGATTAAGGGATGGTTTGATGCCAATATGCTTTGCTTCAACATATAAAGAACGGTATACTACATTTAAGTGTGCTTGAACTGACTTAAAAACATTAGACAATAGAACCACAGTCAAGTTTCTGAGTCTGCACATTGAATCCCAGTTGAAGTTTGAGCCTCACATCAATGGCTTGACAAAAAAATTAGTGAGTGCCTGCTATATCATTAGAACCATTTCTCATGAACTTGACAAATCAGCAGCCAGACGGTATTTTTCATTATTTGAGGCACATGTGAGATTTGAAAAAAGATCAATTCAATCAGTATTTATACTGAAAAAGAGAGCCATAAGATACTTGATAAGATATCCGTGTGGTGTGGGCTGTAGACACACATGTAGATCTCTATTTAAGCAAGAGGAAATATTGACACTACCTTACATTTTTATTCTTGAATCGGTCAGTTTGATATTTAGAAAGTTGAGAGCATACAAAAGTTTAATCACTTACCTCAAGAACTACCAAACATCAACAACTATTGCTTCATGTATTGATTAAGCAGTTTTTAGCCACCAGGGATTACTATGGTCTTAGGGAATTTTACGAGAGTTAACTACAGATGCACTTATCTGTAGATGCATATTATATTTATATAATTTACTGATGTGTTTTGACTAGTGGTGTGATTCTGAAATTGTTGGTGTATATTTTTGTTCTTTTATCTTGTAACGATACCTACATTTTACATTACACTTTAATGGTATTATAATCCCTATAAATGTAATTATGGTAGTAGTAGTTAGTATTTATTGTAAATAATTGCTTTGTCAATGAAAATATCTTTTTTCTGTACAATAAAATTTACTTTGATTTGATTTGAAAAAAGACTTACGGACTTTTTGAATAATAATATTTGGTTCCTTAAATTAGCACAACGAAAATAGCACACATCAGAAAAACTAGAGTACTAAATTCGGGCCTATTTAGTGCTAATTTAATACGAAAAAAAAAAAATTATAATTCTATTTTTAAAAAAATTACGTGCATGTGTGCCAGTTTAAGATTAGGCTGGCACACTCTAGTTGGATAACGAATTAGTATCACATCATCACAGAGCTAGCACTTGTGTGCTGGCTTAGTGTTTAGGTTAACGAACATTATCACCGATGACGCGATGAAACTAGAGTACTAAGTTAATACACATTTAGTGCTGATTTCGGACGTTCGTTTGGGTTAGTTCTGGTTAGTTTGGGTTAATTTTGGTTAGTTTGGGTTAGTTCTGTGCTGATGTGATACTAATTCGGGTCGTCGTTTTTGAAGTACCAAATTAGCACTAAATATGCGCATACGAATCCCGTTCTCGCGCGGTTGATTCGATGTATGTGTGCTAATTCAAGTCTTAAGTTAGCACTTCTCCGTGGTTATTTCGTAATAAATACATCATTGCTAGTTTTTTAGGCGTATCACGAATGTACTAAATTAGCACTAAATATGAGGTACCTACTAGATTTTCAAAGATTCTACCTTATCCAACTAGAGTGTGCCAGCTTAATCTTAAGCTGACACACATGCACGTGATTTTTTTTAAAAATAGAGTTATAAATTTTTTTTCTTCATAGTAAATTAGCACTAAATAGGCCCGAATTTGGTACTCTAGTTTTTCTGACGTGTGCCATTTTTGTTGTGCTAATTTTTGAGACCTAATAATATTATAATACCTAAATAAAAATCAGTTTGGATTTTAAAATGGTAAAAGCACAGAAGATGCTGTGTATCGAATGGTAAATGATAGGACAAATAATTAAGATAGATGCAATGTCTGTAATGCAGCATTCCAGGCAGCATTTTTATATCTTGCAGAAGCATTTGATACTGCAGCTAGAGTTGCAAAATTACCGGTAAAATAAATTTCGGTGAAATTACTGGCAATTTTACGTAATATTAGGTGGTATGATGAACTTTTTTGAGAAATAAATTAAGGATTCTTGTGCTTGTGCAAAATCAAAATTTTAAATATATTAGGTACGTTCTTATATTGTAATATTCTCTGATAATAATTAATATCGATATCGTATCAATATTATTGTCTATTTTCTGATACAGAAATAGAGAGACGAACGCGGAAATCAACATGGTCATTGTACTATTTTCTTTTTCTATTTTTCAAAATAAAGAGAGACAAATTTAAATGAAACGCACATCCTTGGTTTGGTTTCCCTAATAATTTTGAAGTCTCTACTGCTACGACACACGTGTTTATAAACCATAGGGTTTACAATGAATTTATGGTCTTAAACCTCGATTTGAGCTATCAACTTCAATGAAATAGACTATAGGACTAATGACGTATTTTTATCGATTAAACGTTCAATTTTACCAATTTTACCGAGATATATATGGGTAATATTACGTAATTTTACGTAATTTTACGTAAATTACCGGTAATTTTACCTTTGCAACTCTAACTGCAGCTTATGATATTCTCCTTAAAATTTTTGAAAACTATAGGATAAGGGGTATTGTATTGAAATTGTTTCAAAATTATTTAAATAATAGACCACTGAAAACAAAAATTGGTGAAACCTTAACTAATCCCCATATAATTGAAATAGAAGTCCCGCAAGGCAATGGAACCAAAAAACCAATTTTATTATTTACATGAACTCATTTTTTTAAGATTCAAGTTCCTGCCAAAATTTCTGTTTATGCAGATAATCAGTTGTAATGTTTATTGCCAACACATGGGAAGATATAAAACCCGAGCTTAAACCGTTCAATTATTGTATACGATCTTTCGAGCGATCTTTGTAGCACACATGTTCCAAAAAACAAAGAACTATATATACTGATCTGGTTTAATTATTATCTGATCATTTACAACCATTGTCCAGCCGACCAAAGTATTACAGAACTTAAAAAACTAAGCAAAAATTGCGATTTTAAAAATGTTTTAGTTGTAACATGTCAATCATGGATGTTCACCTAAGAACAATTCATTAGAGAACTTAAAATTCCAAACTATATTGAAAAACTTATGCAGTTACCGGCTTCTGATAATACTTTTGTCCAATGTGTTAAAGTAATCTTTTTATAACAATAACAGGATATATCGGTCCATATAATAATATAATTTTTGTTCGATATATCCTGTTATTATTATAAAAAAAAAGATTTTCACGGTCCTTAAATTAAAAACTATTCTAAAATTATGTAATAAGTAATAGTAGCGATGTAGTATCAGACTGAGTAGTGCTGGATACATAGGCTATGCAGATGACCTGGCCATTATAATCAAGGGCAAACATGAAGGTGTAACGGGTTTCGACTATAACTCTTCGGATATTGGGTAACCCGCAGGATCGTTCATCCGAGAACTTAATAAAAGATGTGTTGTTGCTTAGAAGTTGTGTATTAGATTCGTTGTCAAAATATGTGTTGCATTACCAAATGGGTCAGTGTGACCTACTTATTCAGCACATTAATATTATATTGGTTTAGCAAAAGAAAACACAAGTGATGAAAAAAAACCTGCGAACAACAATTGCGTACCTGCGAGATAAGTGCGCAAAACTCAACAACTTGTGTAAGGAATACAAAGCCAATGCTGAGACCATTAACTCTAAATACAAAGATCACCAAGGTCAGACCAATCAGGAGGAAGAAAGACGTGCACATGAAACCAACGTAGAAACACTAATTTTGAAGGAGAGAAACAAATACTTAGTAGAGCAGAACAAAGTTTTACAGAAACAGAACCTTACCTTAAAGCAACTTAATGCAGAGCTGAAAAACACAAACACACTACAAAATGAAATACTACAAGATGGTAAGAACAAAGAAAGAAGCTATGCCACAGTTGTCAATAACACAAATAACAAATACATAAGAGCAGAAAATATATCCGATGATGATGATATCCAAATTTGATAAGTATCATAGCCAGGACCTATTAAAGGAAATCAAATATATCCTAGCAAATAAAACAACTATACCAATAGATCTTATGCTAACAAAATCAAATGATAAGATCATTGTCCGATGTGACACAGACGAAAATGTAAGATACATACAAAACCTATTAAACAGTATTGCCAAAAATAGGTTTACCAGAAATATAGAGAAAAAAACGAATCCCTTAATAAAAGTAGTGGGCATAGAAACAGACTGTACGGATTACGATAAAATAAAGGCAGATATTGTAAATAGAAACAATCTAGGAAGCGAAACATCTAAAAATGAATCATGTATATACAACAAAAAAGCAAACCAAAACTGCAATTTTACAAGTAAGTAAACAAACATATTCACAAATTATGAGAGACAAAAAAGTGTACATAGGATGCAGGAGGTGCAAAGTATTTGATGAGTACAGCCCTAAAAAGTGCAGAAATGCCACAAAATGTCTACACTGCTCGGAAGAACACCCTACCCAGCAATGTAACAAGACAGACAGAAAAAATGTCTAAATTGTTGTTCTTCAAATAGGTTTCACACCAACAAAAGGGAAGAAAATCATCGTGCAGACGAGCACGAAATATGCGAAACATATATCCTGTTCACAATCCGATGTTCACAGGTGCAGGTAAATTTATCGCCTTTCCCTATCAAATAGCATTGAAAGGTGATAAATTGTACCTGTACCTGTGGACATCGGATTGTGAACGGATGATATAAAGCATTTCTGTCAAAAATCATTGTTAGAACCGACTATCCATTTTCACCGAAAAGATTTTGAATTCGAAACAAATCTAGAGATTAATGTCACGCACGAACTGAACAATTTAATATCAAACAATGACTTTGTAATCTATCACACAAATATTAGAAGTTTACATAGAAACTTACAACATATATGGATAAATCTGAATATGCTAAAGACAGTCAAAAAGGTTTATCACCTTTTCAGCTGAACAGCTCCTAAACATGAGCAGACCAGACATCAGAATGATCGTAGAACTGCTCACAGGACACTGCCTGGTGAAATATCACTTAAGGATAATGGGCAGAGAGAAGACGATCTCTGCAGATTCTGCTCAGACGCATAAAAATTCGAGTAAAAATTTAAAATGTACAGAATGCCACAGATTTGGACATCTAGCAAGAGTCTGTATGAAAAGTTCATCTAGTTTCAATAGATTGCATACAGAACAAAACCACATGTATTTAACTGAAAAACAATGCAAACAGAACGATATAAAATTGTATGAATGTAACACAGAAATTTATAGTTAAATGCAATGGAATATGGAATTATGATACTGGCAAAGCTGTCAAAAATGGTAAATTATTATGGAAAACTAGAAGACATTGCATGAAAACTATATCCCGAGCTATATCCACTTTAAAATTTACTTCAGAAAAAAGTACCATTCCAATGTACAGAAGAACGTGAAAAAGTTTATAATTGGATGAAATTAGAAACCGTTTCTCTTCAAGTTTAATGCTAAATGCATTCCATATCCCACTTTCGTAAAGTACAGATGTTATTCCAAATGCTCTAGGAGCAGTCCCATAATTTTCCGGATTGTATTTGCTTCAAAAAGACTTAGCGCCGGGTTAGAATGTGTTCTAAACACATTATACTTATAGACCTTGACCCATGCAAAACTTTGACAACATATCAACTTCGTTAATCGAGAGCAAAAGTGTCGGCCCTTAATAAATCACATTGATAAGGAAGTGACTGGTATTTACTGGGGTATCACAAATTTTTTCAGTAGGAAATTTATACTTATCACGGGTCACAAACATTTAGTTTCAATATTTTGCCCAGGAAAGCATTTACCTCCAAAGGTTGTTACACTACGCTCAATTTGAACAAGATTTTGCTTTTGAAATTATTTTTGGTGTATGTTTTTTTTTGGTGCCATTGTTCATTGCTGGCATTGGAACTAATATTGAGTGGACAACAGACATAAGTTAATTTTGAAATCCTGAAACTAAAAGCCAAAATAAATTCTAGGCATGGATAGTGGAACGAATGGGCAAATTCCATAGAATACTCGAACCAGGCTTAAATATACTAATTCCTATAGCAGACAGAGTAAAATATGTTCAAAGCCTTAAGGAAATAGCCGTAGATATTCCTAAACAAAGCGCAATCACATCCGATAATGTAACTTTGAGTATCGATGGTGTTTTGTATTTGAGAATAGTTGATGCCTACTTGGCCAGTTACGGTGTTGAGGATCCTGAATTTGCCATAACACAACTTGCACAAGTTTGTATAATATTCAATTTTTTATGTATTGTTAATGTGTTTCATTTAAGACTACTATGCGGTCAGAATTAGGAAAGATCTCATTAGACAAAGTGTTCAGGGAGAGGGAAAGCTTAAATGTTGCTATGGTAGAGTCTATTAACAAAGCCAGTGAGGCTTGGGGTATGACATGTCTTAGATACGAAATTAGGGATATTAAGCTACCTCAAAGAGTGCAAGAAGCTATGCAAATGCAGGTGAATATAATAAGTACTTGTAGGTTTAAAGAAACCAAAAAAAAAAAATAAAAATGATTTTGTAGGTTGAAGCTGAGCGTAAGAAAAGAGCAGCAGTATTAGAGTCAGAGGGTGTAAGGGCAGCTGAAATTAATGTGGCTGAAGGTATTTATCGTAGCCTATTTAAAGCGTATTTTTATAAAAGTGATTTTTTAATAGGTAAACGTCAAGCACGAATTCTAGCATCTGAAGCAGAAAAACAAGAACAAATAAATAAAGCTTCTGGTGAAGCTTCAGCTATTAAAGCAGTTGCTGAAGCAAGAGCTAAAGGGATACAAGTAAATATTGTGTTTTTTATGTATAAGTTTATATACTTCAAAATTGGCTGTTATAGCTTGTAGCAGAAGCTCTTCAAACAGAACGTGGATCCAATGCAGCAGCTTTAACTATAGCCGAACAATATGTTGGTGCCTTTGACAATTTGGCCAGGACAAATAATACACTTATTTTGCCTGCTAATGCCGGTGATGTATCCAGCATTGTAACACAAGTAAGAATTTATATTCTTTCATTTACAGTGTCTTAATTTGATTTGATTTCAGGCTTTGTCGGTATATTCTGCAGTTACAAAACAGCCAGGTTTCCATAAAAAGAGAGCGTTTAAGTCTAAGATACTTCCCTTGAAACCGCAGGATAATTTGGAGGAATATTTTAGTGACGAAGAGGATCTGAAAAAGCACAGGGAAAGGTTGGAATTGGAAAATAATTTGAAGAAATAATAAGTTATTGGTTTTCATTTAAAATCACTTTTTTTTTGGAGAATCACATGTTATTAAATTGATGAAATTGTTGTAATTGTTAATGCATTTTTATTATTTTTTTCATTTACTATTTTTGAAATTTCACAACTTTATTATGGGAATAAATGAATTCTATTTATTTTGATACAGCTGTTTTATTTCTATGAAAAACCTAAGAATGTCCTTTTTTGATTCCATGTATATTCACTTATACAGACCAATAACCATTATTAATACGTTTGTTTATACATCTATCTATTCTGAAAAGTTAATATGGGGTCAGACCAATACCAACCTTCTCCGTATGGTTCACATAATCCCTGTAGAGTGAATTATTATTTGAGAAACCCCATATTTAGGCCATTTTCAATATTATATTTACTAGCCAAACAAGCAAGTTTTTGATAATTGGATTCATGTTTATTCAAAAGTATATTGCCCACTTGCGGTACATCTTTGTACCAACTCAAATGCAAACAATTAAAGTTACAATCTACCCTATTGCAAACAAATGCTGAAGTACTTGATACAATAATTAATTTTCAAAGAAATATAAAAACCGATTATCTGTTCAGACTTTTTACTTTGTATTTGAGTCTCTTGGACAGTGTTTGAACAAAATGGCCCATTATTTAAATTTTGCTATGAGAAATATGGTCGGGGTGCTTATAGTTTTTGTGTTGGTCATCTGCCATACCCAAGCAAGAAGTAAGTGTAATAGTAATTTTTGAATTTGTATTATAAAATTATTCATGTTATTTTTTAAGGCGGCTGTGCAATTTTTGGCCATTCTTGCTACGGTGGTATTGGCAAACGTGCAGAATTAGCTGATACCAATGAAGAATCTACCAATCAGAAAAATGAGCTCTCAACAGGTTTATATCCTGGTAAGTTAGCAATTTAAATGTACCTACTAGTTTTACTTTGGTTCAAAAGTTATTTGAGGTAATAAAGCTTTACGAGGCTTTTCTCATCTTTAAACTTTCCAAAAAATCAGTGTAAAATTATATTTGACTCTAAAGTAGCAACTACCTAAATATTTTATTGTTCAATTTTATTTTTTAGAATCTTCTCAAAATTATATTCCAAGACCCTTCAGCGTTTCTCCAGAACAGTATGAGCGGATGAACAAATACATAAATGAATGGGTGAGGCACACTTAAATCTATTAAAAATTGTATTCACCTAGAAGCATTTATTTCTATTTTATATCTTTTACCTAGATTCTGAATTATATGAGGAACCGAGAAGAATATTTGCGAAAAGAAGAAGGATTTGACCGCGAATAGATGAAATCATTTTCTATGTTTTATCCTTTTTATCATCTTGAATAAAATGTTGTGAGCTTAAAATATATTTTTATCATTGTTTTTATTCAGTAACTTTTCACTTATTCCGGTGATGAATAATTTCGGCTATATTTCAAGCAAACACTCAGTGTCTCATTTGAAAATCAAAAGTATAATGGAGGGATAATGATTATGTGATATAACTACAAAAAAGGTGAATTCTAGTTAATTAGAAAGTTATATATGAAAAACGAATTTTTAGAATTGATATTTGAACAGACAAAATAAAGTTTAGATTTTTATTGTCCCTCGTTAAATTTGGAAGCAGATGTTCCGTTATTCCATGTCATTATTTTCATTTTCTTCTCAACAGAATATTGAGAAATAGGCAGCATCTAAAACAATTCGAGTACATGTATTTATTCCGTTAATTTAATTATAGTGGCGATATTTCCCTACCAGCTTTAATGAGGGGTATCGATTGACGAGGCTAATCACCTTAATGAACAAGTAAACAAGAATTTCTGTTATCTTCTGAATGAACAATGGCGATTGAATTTAGTTGAACTTTGTAAAACAATAATTATTATGTAATAATTGCCATTCTTGTATATTTGCTTTTTTGTGTGATAGCGCATATTAAACGTTGCTGGTTGCTGTGCATTTGTCAAGAAAAAAAAGGTAAGAATTATTTCTTAGTTTTTATCTAGGTCTTCTAACCTACCTCTATGTATTTTATATTGTTTATAATAAATATTAGAGAGCTTAAGATTTATATTTTAAACCTAAATAACGTTTAAAAACTAGAAACTAATAATATACCTATGTAATTACTAGCAGAGTAGAGACAGTGGAATAGGCTTTTCGATGTTCAGACTAACTTTTATTAGATTCAAGTAATACCTACCTAAAATTACATAAATTTCAATATAACACTTGATGACAATCAATATTGATATACTGTATAATGACACTACTACACCACTCCTAAACCTAAGGAGCTTCTTAACCCCAAGATTCTACAATCAGGCATATGAATAAAGTGTAGCAAATGCTTTTACTCTACCCAGGCGCGGCTCCTCTATAAGGTCATTCGGTCAATGACCCACCAAAAAATCAAACAATAAATTTTCAATTAAACATCTTGGATATTTAGTTTTAAATTAACCAACATCACGCTCAACAAAATGCAGAAATCGAATTATTTTGCGCCCTGAACTCGAAAAACGGCGCTGTTTCTCTAAATTTGACCCACCTCACGAGCCGCGCCTGACTCTACCTCCATCACTTTTTGCTGCAGTAAAGTTGAATATGTTTATCTCAAAAATTTAAGTAAAAGCATTTGCTTCTGTTTTATTCATATGAGCCAATGTCTTTCAAAATCTTGACCTCTGACATTGTATTTGACATCAATTTGTTTGTTTCTTGTGTTCCCAATTCTCGAGATGTACCTATACATGCTTCATACATTGTGAATGGAAAAACAATGTATTTTTGGTTCTACCAGTAAATTTCCAAGCTAGAGCAGCAGTAGCAAGTGAAACAAATTCCAGCGTCAGTCGATGAAAGTATAGATTGCTTCTTGTTAACCCAACACACAGTAGAATCATAAACCTTTTAAAGCAAATCCAGTTTTTTTTTGTCATAGTATAGGAGCTGGCAGGTTTTTCGGTAAACGATATTCGATATTGATCAAAATTTTTATTAATTAATCATGATTGAGGGATTGAGGGTTACCTGGACGTACCAAAACTGACCGTCTGCCTACTAAAAAAAACCTTAGGCCAGGAGAAGTCGAATGGCGCAAACCGCAGGTCGCTAGCACAACTAGTATAGAAGATTATAAGCATTTCAAATGGGTCACTCCGGCTGGGACACCCTGTATATGACAAAATTTGATAGTGTCTGCCACAATTGTGCTGTCGAATAAATCTTCTGCCTATTTGAATTTTGAATACACTAGAGTTGCTCTAACGCTTTCATGAATATCAGCTATTATTAGTATTGTTTACCATAAATCAACTTGTCATTATTCCAGCGTCTGCCAAAAAAACGCTGCCGTCTTTTTCGTCTGCCGATATTTTTTCTGAGAATACGTTAATAAAGGAATCGATTTGCAAAAAAACAAATTTGACAGGCGTCTGCCGAAGTAATGCTGTCAAACAAATCGTCTGCCTGTGTAATATTGATAAGTCCTCAAACTGTTAATTCGTTTCTGAAAATTTCGATCTTGATCAATATCGTTCAGCAAAATGAAAATTCATCCCTTTTTAAAATTTAACCCCCGATTAAAGCTGCCACCTGTGTGAAACGGCAGACGGTCAGTTTTGGTATGTCCAGGTAACCCTCAATCCCTCAATCATATGATTAATTAATAAAATTTTTGATCAATATCCTTCACCGAAAAACCTGCCAGTTCCTATACTATCAAGGCTACTTCCACAATTTTCATCTGCGTAACCAAAAACAGGCTGACTCGTATAAAATTAATTCTTTATGAATAGACCAATGTCTAAAGTGTACCTACCTACTTAACAAATCTTTGCCTTCTTTTTCTGTTGCATTACTCTGATTGCGATTGGCGACTAAAGTAGGTACCTACAGTTAAGAGCAAAACTTAAATCAGGTCGAGTACACAACATTACCTACATACATTAAACAACCAAATTATTTCTCTAGAAGGTTTCTGTCCAATGATCGATTCTTCATCCAATGTCACTGTTTCTTGTTTCTGACTCAACAATTAACCTTCAGTAAGATCTTTTAATTTTTATTCCGAGAAAACTTTTAAGTTCTCCCATATATCTTTCATCTGAAATTCTGTATACTAAGTACTTTTTTCACATTCTTGTAGTTTTGTAATATCGTTGGTACTTGTCAAGATAAAATTCTCTACGTATATACAAGTAAAAAATCTTGATATTCCCTTCAAATTTTTAGTAGACACTTTAGAGACACTTTTCATTTGCACATCGAATCATACCAAACTTTTTGAATAATGAGTCCAATCTATAAAGTTCTAAACTCTTGGAGCGTTTGAGTCCATAAAGCGACTTTTCCAACTTATAGATTTTACTTGATTGGTACCTAACTTAATCTACACTTCCGTATTCAAAAATCCATGTAAAAATGCGTTTTTCATATCTATTTGGTGAGCTAATAAATTTTCTTGATTTACTATTGACAACAATGACAACAGCACTTGTACCGTTGTCGAACGTGCTCCTAACGCATCATAGGCATTATCATAGGTCTCAGTGTAGGGGAGACCGGGGGAATACCGCGCGCTTGAGCAAATTACTTCTAATTGAATAAATATTCTTATCAATGACCTGATTTTTTCCATAAGGAGCGCGAATACAATACACCAACTATTGGAACATTCAACATCAATCATTTCTTTCTTTAAGTTCCATTATCAAAAAAAAAAAAACAAAAATTATTGCCTGCGCGGTATTGCCCGGACATCTGGGTAATACCGCGCATACTCTGGGGGAATGGCACGCAGTAAAGTGAAGTGTTTCAATGTAGTTTAACTGAATTTATTTTATTTTTTTAATAACAAAAATATAAAAGTTAACATATAGTGTCGCGGCTTTGGGTTGCCTGACAGAAATCTTGGGTTCGTCGTTCGTTTCGTTTATTCCAAAAATCAAAGTCCAATTAACACAGCAATAATTTATTCCACTTAACAATACACTCTGACACTAATTACTAACTCAACAATTAAACTCTTTACAATCACTATTTAAATCGTATCACAGTCGAACTGAAAACTAAACTTACAAATCAATGCCGGCCTTCTTATATATCCCTAAATCTATTCCTGTGAAATCTAGAATACACACGATAATCTAATTTTCCAGATTAAAGTAGAATAATTCGCTAGATTCTAGTATTTCCGCGATCGATTCTTGACAGCCTGGGCGGACGTTTAGCTTATTGTGACAATAGATATCAAAACCGGTGAGTTTGGAAACATTGAGAGGTTATTATTAAATACCAACAAAAACCCATTCTAATAATAACTTAGGTAAATAAACATCAACTTTCAGCAACAGTAGTCACACAAGTAAATTTTCCCTTGTTCTTTTCCACTACAAGCGGCATGTGCCCACTTTGAGCAGGAATTGTAACGAAACCAGACCTCGTTATTACTGCCAAACTCTCCACAGACTAGACAGATATCCTCTTCGTGGGTTAGGGTGGGAGAAACTTCGTGTAACTCATCATCGTTACAAATCTCGCTTTCAGAATAACTCTCAGGTTCAGTTTTATCGTCGTCGTCATAGAACTTCATTTTGCGAATGTGTTTTGGCTTTTTGTTGATATTTTTAACTCTCAAAACTCTTGATATTTTTTCTCTTTTTACTATATTTGTTTCTTTTTTCTTCATTTTTTCTTTTCTCTTCCATAGTCTCCAGTTCTAATTTAAGAGGAGTAGCAGTCAAGATCTTCGAATGTTGTTTCGGGCGCGATTTCGCTAAGATATTTTTTAGATTTGATGGTGGGTATTGGAGCTAACTTTTGAATCGTAGACTTTGGTGAAGATGTGACGCATTCTATACCTGATGGTCCCGGTTCAGGTTCAGCTGGAATATCATGAGCAATATTCTCTGCACTGTTTTTCTTTATAGGTGTTCTGTGATCTGGCTCGAAAGATATGAGATTCTGTTCTGAGCTATATCCATCTAGAGTCTAGAGATATGTGACTAGTATGGTTATCTAATATAAGTAGAACAGGATCGTCTAGTGATGGTTTTACACAGTTTTTGAAGTGGTGCAGCCATTCGTTGAACAAAGTTTCATTGATCCATCCGTTTTTTGAACATCTCTGTAAAAATGAATAATTTTACTTAATGAAGACTTGCTCCTCATATTTAGATTAACCGCCAAAACAAGACCAAGAATCATGAGCCATTCTTGAAATATACAACATTCACAAATTGAAACAAAAGTATGAAACTTGAATTATTTAATTCTAATTTCTTAGTTCTTACCTGTAAATTGCCCCAGGTGGGTCGTCTTTTTCTAAATGAGGATTTATG